TGTAGACTGTACATTTAAGTCGATGTATCAGGTATATTAAATCAGGGAATATTAAAAGCGGGGTTTTCCTGTGGGAATTGATTGGATCATGACATTACTGACGGCTGACAGCTCCCAACAAATTGGTTGTTATTACGATCCACCTAAGGTGGATATACACTAAAACATTTTCGTGTAATGTGATGTTCTATTCTACAGGGTATTAGGTAAATGGGTATATGAGCCGACACTAGCCCATGTAAATTTTATAAAATCCGATTTGTATGAAAATTAAAATAATTAAAATGAAGATGAAGATATCAATTTTCTGACTTCACCATACCATTTATATGACCATGTTAACATGGGCTAGTGTCGGCTCATATACCCATTTACCTAACACCCTGTATAGAATGGTTAAAACGTCAATTTCTAAAGCACGTTTGCCACGTAAAAGAATAGAGCGGCTCGTTGTTCTGTTACAAGTAAATGTTCTAGTCAATACTCACCTTTATGCTATTGTATCCGCGTTGTTATTAGGCAAATATTGACGTGTCAAGGTTAAGATGTACGAAAAGAGAGACTCTACCGGGAATGGGGTGAAATGAAACCGCTGTTTACCGGAAAATGGATCACTTATTTACAAGGATTTTTGCCCATTCATGGAATCTTTCCACAAGAGAAATTCTCTTTTTTTTAATAACCTAAAACAAGAAACAATAAAGAGTTTTAAACAACCAATAGTTATATTGTTTTAGGATAAAGCTGAAGTGATCAGTTGTGATAAAATTGGATTTTTATTTTAAAAAGTTGAAACTTTTAATTTGTTGCGTTAAATAATCTTAACCACTTACAGATATAAATCAATTCAAAGTCTTTCAAAGTAAAAGTAATTGACTAGACTTAACAGAGACAGTAAAAATTTGATTATTCTGTTGAAAACTAATACTAATTTTCTTTAAGTAATTACTGTAGGTATACTTTTTTAAACGTAGGTTAATAAATCATGCCAATCGCCAAGAAGCTTAACGATCAGTGAATTAGTCCAATGAAACCGAACAGTACCGAGCAAAACCAGTTTTAGTGCTTAATCGAATATTCCGTTAGGACGCTAGATCGATCAATCAAACTTAGAGCTTTCCTTTTGTCTGTAGCACTCTAAACTCAAAGCTAACTTGACATGTTTGTCGTTAATTTCAAGCAGTCCGACAGTAAATTATTCTCCATCTTGTTCAAAGGTTTTAGTATGTTTCATGACATTATGTAATCTTCAATTTCAATTTAAATAAAATCCTATCTTTTTGCGTTAAGTCGCATCACAAACTAAATTTTAAATAGCTAACTTGAACAAATCGAATTGCCTATGGTGGGAATCAAACCCACGCTCGGATAGTAGAGCAGTCGCCTGGCAAAGAAAAGGTTGTGGGTTCGATTCACATCTTATGTAAGTAATTCGAGTTTTTCAAGTTATTAAAAAATACCTATTTACTATGAAAAAAAAAAGAGATGATTAAAATGTTTTGTTTGTGAATAAAATGGCCTAAAATAAAGTATTCTGCCTCTCAATAATACGAGCACCAACATTGAAGGGCGAATCAATTTGTTGTCAGCGCGAAATCTCTCGAATAACACAATTTTAAAATCTCATTATTGGACTTTCCGGAAAACGCTCTTACAATCATTTTACCGAACAATAGCTATTTAAAATGCTGTCCTTATCAAACTTGTTTAATATTAAAATGCTGAAAAAGAATTACATGGTTCATTTTATAGGCATTATGTATTCGAATATTTCTTTTACTTTGAATTTATAACTTCGTTAATATTACAAGTCCAAGTAATATTGGTAATATCTTCTTAGAATGTGATCGCAGATTAACGTATAATATTGGCACAGACAGCAGTAATTGGGTTCGAATGTTACGTATCTCTATTACCTACCGAAACAGGTAAACAACTCAATTACCCAATATTTACTTAATATACTCAATAACTTACTATGGAAGATCATAAATGATATAAGAGGTATAATCTCTCCTCTACAGTTCTCTCTATCTTTCATAACCTCCCAATACGTTATGTTATATGAAGTAGCCACTTTCTCTTTATGTAAGCTGGCATTAATTATGGTATTTATGTTATCTTTAATGGGACAGTGCCATGGTAAAAGTGCTCTTCATAAGCCTACTTACTGAAAATAAATGTTTTTAACGTTGAAATTACCTTTCCCTTGGAAAGTTTAGGTTCCAAAAATATAAGTACCCATTTAAGTACATACAACTGATGACACATTCGGTGGCACTTTTATAAAAAAGATTCATTTTTTCTCAAAGCTAGAGATTAGTCAAATTCGTATTGTTACATGAATTTTGCATTCTATAAGGAGGCCTATTTGTAATGGTTGACTTTAATGATGTTAATTATGTTTTAGGTTAAAAAGTAGACTTGTGTTTTGCCTTGGCAACCCAAATTCTCGCAGAAGCCGCGGGCATTAACTAGTATTCCTAGTATTCCATAATAGGCATATGCCTATGATATTAGGTAGGTTAGATAATATGTAATGCTATCTCAAATTACCAAACATTACATGCTACCTACTCCAAATTCCAACTAAGCCTAACATAAACGCGAATCACAATATTATCATAGCGTATTAATAATCTTCCCTACAATTACAACATCGTGTCTATATATTTATTTAACTAACGAGAAAAGATTAACATAATATAAACACATACTATGTAGGTAGATTCATAGAAATTATCAGCCCATTTTACTTTACGCCCACTTTAATGTATCAAAATCATTCTAGAAGTTTTTGTGTGAAGGATTAGCAAGCATCCAAACTTTCGTGTAAGTTAAAATTAGTTCAGATGTGGGATGTATACTTAAGGTAGGTTTAAAAAGTTTCGGTAAACTTCAAGGTATGATACAAAATTAATTTTTGATCCTATTTCTCTTCACTCCTCTCAGTAATAAGTACTACGGTAGTAATACCACCTTACTTACTGCACTACTCACTCCTTATAATTATTACCTACCAAAAAACCCCTAGCAAACTTGGCAGCGCACTGTAACAGACGAGGCGAAGAAAATCGGCAAGACCTGGAGCGAGATCAAGCGCGAAGCTCAAGACCGAACGCGATGGAGGACTGTTGTGGACGCCCTCTGCCCCATCTAGGGGACATAGGACCTTAAGTCAAGTAAGTCAAAAACCCCTTATTCCAATTCCCCTAATGGTTAAAATACATACTTATAAATACTTATTTATTTATTCGCGTTCCATTTCAAACCAAAATAGAAGGACACGCACAGGTTTTACCGCAACATTTATGACTGAGTTACATTATGTACCGGCTTGACGATTCGGTGTACCTAAGTAGGTACTTCCCTATTGAACTTTTTATAGAGGCAATTCAGTTCAAGTATGTACGTACAAAGCCCAGTCTTTAGTGACTATTACGGTCTGAGTAACAGGAATAAAGCCTTAGAAGAAAATTAGAACATTAAAGGACCGCAACCAGTGGCGTAGCGTGCTAAGACGGGCCCGTATCAAAATTGTTTGGGGCCCCAAAACGTTTTTTTTTCATCTATCTAAACATGTTTTAGGTATTAAGGGCTACTAATCATATCGGGGCCCTTAGGCAATGCAATCCTCGGGACCCCCTGTTTGAAGATATAAAAAAGTCATTGCTAAATTGTAGGGCCCTGCGATCGTGAGGCCCTGATGATTGACCTTGAAAAAGCTTAACCTAAGATTGTTATAATTTTTTTTCGTCGCCTCTCGATCTAAATATTTTGAAAATGTCAAAAATAAAGTCAAAATTCCTTTATTAGCATAGACTATTAAAATAGTGCTTACAAATCGTCAAATATAAAAAAAATAAAAGACTAATTAAAAAAAATAAAGTTTTGCTCTTAGCATAATCTTTTTGCCCTACCAGCGCTTCGAGACCAACATTTGGCAAGTCCTAAGAAGAAGCGCCGCAACAAACGACGACAACAAATGCCTTGAAAACCTAACCTAATGCCCGTTTTCACCAACAAACCCTAATTTATAAGCGACCCCAATGGTAACACATAATATTATTATGAATTTTGTTTTCATAAGGGTCATTTAAAAATTAGGGATTGATGGTGAAAACGGGCATTAGACTCCTAAGAGTTGCCTGGTCTCTGGGAGCCCCTATAGTCTAGGGCCCCGTATATTACAGCTGTTACGAACTAGATATGCTCCTGACTACAACCCTTATTGCTACCCCCACTTCCTAGGCTCTTAAGTGATTATAAATCTCTGTAATTAGGACTCTAACGGTACCTTGGGTAGGTAGGGAAGGTACGGAAACTCGGACTAATGGACACTGGAGAGAAACACGTGTGTAGTTTCAGATTGGGCTAATGGGATGCCTAGGCATTATAATAATAGCTTTTGTCCGCGCTTTCGTCCGCGTGAAATTCAGTTTCGCAGAAAGACCGACTTGACACTATTTTGACAAATAAATGAATATCGTTTTAAATGTAATGGAAAGATGGAATTAACAGGATTTAATAATATTAGTAAGAAAATAGAGATAGACTAAGGCTAATTTCTAGAGTCATTATAGCATTACAATCGCAGCTCTCCATTATGAACGACACTTTAAAAAAAATAGTTTAATTGATAAATAAACTTTAGTATCCGTCGTCCTTTACACGACAACATTTACTTATCTGTCGAAAAGAAAATTGGGAAATTCCAGCACGAATTTTAATATGCCAACATTAAAACATACTCGTAGCACCAAACTGTGTAGGTATCTAATAAAGTGATAACATCTCGGCTTATTCCTCAATAAACTTTGAAAATCTGATATCGAAGCAAATTATGACATCTGCCTTTGAAACGCCTCCGGCTCTGCGACGCCAAACTTTTTCCATTACTAGTTTCGATGGCAATTTTGACACGAAAATTTGGTTTCTTAAAACTAATATGAATCCCCTTAAAGTTAAACGAAGTCTCAAAAGTTAACTTATAAACTTACCAAATAACAGCAGCAGCAAGTCACTAACCGCCAAACTGAACAGGTAATAGTTAGTAGCCGTATGCAATCCCGGGTGCTTCACGATCACAACGCAAACGCACACGTTACCAATAACACCAGTCAAAAATATCACCACAAGTACGATACTGATCGGCACTATTTCTTTCAAAGGTAACCGGCGGGAACCCATCATCCACCATAGCATTTCTTCCTCACTGCAGTCAAAGTTCGAAAGGTTGTTGCATCGGTTGTAAAAATGTTCGTAAGTCTCGTTGACTCGTAGGAAAAGACGGGTAGCCATTTCTTCCGACATCATGATCAAGTGAAATATAACTATTATTAATTAAACTCCATTTAAGTATTACGATTAAATGAATCACCACGTGAATATTTTACGTGAGTCCTCCAGCAACAGAGAACATGTCTACGCGAGCCGCGTCCCAACGCAGACTGAAATTGGAAGGACGACAGGACTCGGTCCAAACTACGGTTTTCGAATTCGCTGCTCGCATACAACTATTGACGAATTTGCATGTCTCACTTCAACAATAATTAATTAATTAAGCTATGGAAAATTTTCTCTCAGAACTTTTTCGGCTATGAGCTACTAACAAACACTGGAATTAACATGCATCGTGAAACTTCGGATTTTTACTAAACTAAGTATTTAATAAGTTGCTTGCTTTATTATAATAATTAACACTTATAAAGTGTTGCAAAAAATAATCACTTAGAGAAAAGCTTTTCTTCATAGATAGTCAATAAATGCGACGTACTTATTTTTGAAATTTCTCGATACAGGCCAAAAGTTTAAGTTGTTTCAAAAGTTTAGAGATGCTCCGTGAGTTTTTAATTCATAGTAAGGTCGCCGTGCATTGAATAAAGACCTGCCAACTGTGTTTTTTCCGAATAAACTCAATTAGAGACCGCAATTTCCTTATTCCGATAAGAAAAATCGAGCTTCTGTGGACTCTGAACTTTCACGTACACTCTCTGAAATTAGAATCGAATCTGATTTATTTCCCGATCCTTTTCAGTTAATGTTATAATTTCAGTAATTGTAATGTCTTTTGAGTTGGATCTTCGAACGTACGTAAATTCGAAAATTATAAATAACTTGAAAAAATCGAACTGCCTAAAGGCGGGAATTGAACCCACGCCACGATTGCCTTAGGCAGTTCGGTTTTTTATGTTATTAATTTTCAAATGAGTTTGAGATGCGACTCTTAACGCTAAAAATTAAATATGTAGCTAACTATGTAAATTCGGTTCGCAGGTAGGTAGGTGGTTTAAATTACTTTCAAAACTCGATTCAAAGTCAGCATTGATCGCGCCTGTGATTGATTGAATTTCAATATTTGAATTGGAGGTCTTTTCATTCACAATAGCCCAACGGTGTCGGCATCGAAATTATTCGAAATAGAAGATGCGAGATTCGAGGAATGCTACTCGTATTGTAAACTCGTAGTTCAATCTCTGTCGGCCGGTCCTAACACAAGTCCGAATATTAGATTAGGTACCTATTTGGAGGCTATTTATTAATGCTTTATAAAAAAATAAAACAAGATAATTTTCTATGTTCTACGAGTAGGCACAGAAAGAGAGAAAATGTTCTTTGGACTTGAACTTAGCTGGCTAGCCAGGAGATAAAAGTTGTGATTGTGAGACATTGACTTTTTCAGCCAATCTCAACGCTGCGCGCTGCCGCGTTGATTCAGTTTAGTCAAGGGTATCGAAATTACGCGTTTAAGGCTGAGTTGCACCACCTAACTTTGACCGTAACTATAACGATAACCGGCATATTTTGTTTGGAGTTTGACAGATATTTGACGTTTGTTAAAGTCAAAGTAAGATGGTGCAACCCAGCCTTAGTAAGTCGAACAAAATGTCAACGTCTAATTAAATTACTCTCATTAGTCGTATAAGTACGTAAGTACTTAATCTGTGCCTATAATTAGTCAAATATTTTGTTAATGCAAGGAACAAAATTAAAACGTAAATAATAAATGATTTTCCTTTAGTTACGAGAGTTTATTTTCTTCAATATCACCAGACCCCACTCTACGCTACAAACTGATAGCTCGTTCGAATAACGAATACGGACAAAACGAACTATCACTCACTGCAAAACCATTAAAATGCTTCCGGCACTATGAAAGAAGAGCTCGCGAGGAAATTGATAACCTGGCACAAAGGATCTTCTTCAACGCTATGAATCGACACACTGTCAATCAATCCCAGCAATTGATAATGAACTCTGAAACTGGATGAACTCATCGTTGAACTCATCTCATCCGACAAGCACTTATTGATAATTACTCTTACCTATTACTTACGTGTCAGATAAGGGACAGATTGGCAAAAGCGTTCACACTTCAAGTTCGCTTCAAAACTTACTTCTAAGTTTGAAACGGCCGAATACTGAATAGGCACTATCTACAAGTAGGTACTACCTAACCCCCTATCATCTAATTAATTAATTTCAAAGTCAAAATGTATTTAATATTGCATTTCATGAATGTGCACAAGATGAAGCAAAATATTCAGTAGGTACATCATGTTAGGTACTTACTTATTATTCTTTTTCTCAAAACTTTTATGGTTTTTATGACTATGATCATGTAGCCCAGTCTTTAGGTAGACACTCTTTGTGAGCCCAATGATACATTATGTACTTACCAAGTAGTAGATTACAACGCCAGCTCAGCTGCGCCGCGGTATCGGGTTCAAATCCCGGAGTTTTAATTGGTGCGCGCGGTGTGGTACAAAAGTCTATTCTAAAAAGTAAAAAAAATACTTGCAAACCAAAGCCACGATAGCCGAACCGTGAAGGTGGTGAAGTGGACTGACCAACTCGTGATCCGAAGAACGCGGGTTCGAATCCCGCGCGCCGCTCGAATGTTGTGGTGACTCGTCCGCGTCGTGACACAAACTTATTTAGCTTATTAAATTTGTGCAATACAAATTACTAATAATCTTTTAATAAAGTAAAAAAATATCATTCCATGCACGAGAATCATCATCTACATTTAAGTAAATCCAAACCATAAAGGAATATTTATTAACTTTATGATCCAAACGGCAAATTATTAAATAACGAGATAACGTTATCACTATTGTTTGTACTATTTGTTTCAAATAATTAACAACGAAATCACAAATAAAAAAACTATGAATGTATCTGTGGAATGTATTGAATGCAATTGGTCGAGGACTTTTTGGCGGGCTTTTGAACGCACTAGGCGCGATTTTTGAAGCCAATATTGTATTTTTCTCTTTCTGTGTTATAAATAGTTATCTATCTATTGGAAGTCGTTAAGTCAACTTAAAACTCGACTATGCCGGACGGGGACGGTAAGGACCCGCCCAGGGGCAAGGAAAAAAGGAAGGCACCAAATAGAGATCACACCTATACGAGTGCAGATGAAGATTTCTACAAACCGTACGTAAAACCAGGGTATAGAAGGCTATTCGCGGAGAACACGGTGAGTGGCGAGTTTTCTGTATTTGTGGAAAGCACGAAAGAGAATGAGAAGATCGGGAACAACAATCCCATTCTGACTACCAACCTTTTCAAAAATGAAATCAAGGGCATTACCAATCTCAAAAGAATTAACGCCAATAAAATATGTGTCACATTTTCCCAGTCTAGTAATGCCAATAACTTCCTGAAAAACGATCCCTTCCTAACCAAACACCAACTCAAGGCATACATCCCAGCCACAGCAGTAGAAACAGTCGGCGTGCTTCGCTTTGTACCCACTAGTATCAGCAATGAGGAACTTTTTAAGAAACTCTCGTCATCTTACGAGATCATAGGTGTGCGTAGGTTCACCAAAAAAGACAACGGCGACATAAAGCCCTTTCAATCTGTGTCTATCACATTTTTATCAACCGTGTTACCCGAACATGTGTATCTAGACCTTTTCAGGTTCAGAGTATTCCCATACAACGCTCCATTGTTGCAATGCTTTAAGTGTTTCAAATTCAACCATGGTGCTAAAATTTGTAAATCTGTGCAAAAATGCTCAATATGTTCTGAAGAACATCATTTTTCTGAATGTACTTCAACGTTAAACCGCAAACCCTCAGACAAAAAACACAACTAGCATAAGGAGACAACCCGGTATGGTTGCCCGCACCATGGTAGTATGTGTAATAATGGATAGAACTTACTGCATCTGCTTTCTTCTTCGTTTGGTTGAAGGCGATGAACTTGCGTTTTTTCTAATTGTCTGAATTAGAGGTAGGAGTAGAACTTAGAGATTGCAATCCGGATTATTCGAAATTCGAAAATATCTGAAAAATCCGGATTTTGAGGCTTTAAAAAAATCCGGATTTTGACTTTGAAATCCGGTTTTTTCGAATATTTTACCCCAAAAATTTTATCATAAAATCATAAACCAAAATAAATATTGAATGCAACATGGATGCAAAACAAGCAAAGTTTTGATTGAACGCACCCGCACTTCGTCGCACAATAACGCGTTATGCCGCATGCGTAAGTGAATTCGCTAGTCGGCCAGTGAGTTTTATACGAGACGCTGATTCTGAAACACTATATCGCTGAGTTTTAAAGAGCAGCTATATCGGCAAATATCCCTTGCAAGTGTAAGTCATCATCATCATCATCATTTCAGCCATAGGACGTCCACTGCTGAACATAGGCCCCCCCAATGCTTTTCATGTTGCCTGGTTGGTAGCGACCTGCGTCCAGCGCCTTCCTGCTACCTTTATGATGTTATCGGTCCACCTTGTGGGTGGACGTCCCACGCTGCGTTTTCCGGTACGCGGCCTCCACTCCAAATTCAAATTATTTATTGCATGTCACTCCAGAACCTTGCTGCCCCATCGGCCGTCAGTTCTGCGTACTATGTGCCCTGCCCATTGCCACTTATATAGACTTACTGGTAAGACACTGCTCTTCCTTTGGGTACCATCGCACCGTGGCATCAGGGGGAATGAAATTGTTGATCTGGCTGCAAGGAATGGCTTTGATGTTGATCATTCTACGTTGTTGAAGTTACCTCACACTGACTATCAAGCCGCAATCAGTCAAGACCTGAAAAAGATATGGCATGAGTACTGGACAATTACTAGTATGGAAAAGGGAAAATGGTATGCTAAGATCCAAGGAAGCCCGCCCGCCAAACCTTGGTACCATCGGAGGAATGAGAATATAGATAACAGGAAGTTTATAACCATCATAAATAGGCTGAGATTTGGCCATTGCCACGCTCCCACTCACCTGAAGAGGCTCAACTTGATTCCGAGCCCTGAATGTACATATTGTAATGAAGAGCTTGCTGATTTGGAACACATAATCTTGAAATGTAGAAGTTTTGGAGTTCAGAGACTGGTCATGATCGATGACCTTCAATCTATTTGTGAACGTGTACCAGAGTCGTTGGACGAGCTCCTGAAAGATCCGAAACTTTTCAAACCCTTATATACTTTCGTGGTTTCAACTCTGGGAACTATTTGAGAAGAGAAAATCAGTGAATCAGTTGGAATCATCAGTGCAGTGAACTCAGTGAAGTGAAGTGTCAAACACAGATGTGATGTCTCAAATTCAAACAAAAGTTCAACGGACTTCAAAGACTGGCTTAAAAGGGCTTGCACCCAGAGCCGTGAAAAACTATATTAAAAAAAAAAAAAAAAGCAATTGGTCGATTGTCTGTCAAATTAATCTATTTAGTGCCAATTAGCCAATAGTAACAAATACTCCAAATTATTAGCCAATGAATACATTTCTGTGCTGCAAGGTAATCTCGGCGACACGACACGTCAAAACTGTCAACATGACATTTCTTTCATTAAAAAAAATCATTTCGTTCGCGAGTCAAGTGGAAACCTTGCCCTTAGCGTTATTTATTTACTTTTCATCATTAAATTTTGCCTTCGCATCAATGAAGTGTTGTCGGATAGTATTATAAAGTAATTATTTCCCAGCTAGTGGAATAAAAACGTGCAAATGTCGGAAGAAATCAATGATATCGCTATGACGAGCACAGAAGCCGATTCTTCACAAACACAGGGACATGATGGTAAATAAACATAAAATCGAAAATAACTGGCTTTTCGAAATTATTAGAATAATATTTATTCAGAAAAAGTAACACGATGTACATATTCCATTTTTTTATCTAGTTTTAATTCTACAGCTAATAATAGTCTACTAAATCTAAAACCCAAGTTGTACAATGAATGAAATTAAAATACCTATTCATTTTTTACAATTATTTTTGATCTCATATTGATATAAGCTACATTATCCCAGAGCTAGGTTAGGGCTCTAATTCATTATTAAACATCAAGCATTTATACTTCTGCAATGAATTGATATTAGCACTATTTTTATGGCATACTCATTCAAATACTGCACTATCTTCAATATTGCACAGATAGCAACACACTTAATTTACTCTCACTCCTATCAAGTATTCCAACGTTCAATAACTTAAAATGTTCCAGCAACGTCAACCCCCACCGCAGACGATACTGCCTCGAGCAGTGCAGCGACACCGGCCGGCAGCGAGGGCCAGGCGTCGCGCCAGTCCAACCTGCAGCGCATCCAGCAGCGCAAGGAGCAGGTGTTCAACTGGCCGCACAACAAGAAGCTGCTCAAGCTTGCCATTTATTCGGCTTGTCAGGTAGGTTTTTTTTTTATTTTTTTATGCATAACAAGGCAGGTATTTGACCACAATCGCACCTGATGTTAAGTGGGATGCAGTCTAGGATGGTACATATCTGCCCTGTAAGTGCTTATTCACTCTCGCCTTGAAGAGGCCCGGATTATAGTTTTCGGGAAAGACAGCAGCAGGCAACGAATTCCAGTCCCTAGCTGTTCGCAAATTTATAAAAGATTCGCATTATGTAGCTCACTATAACCGTAAACTTGACAATGGAAACATTGCTATTTTAAATATTAGCATAATTTAGGAACACGGCTTTCCCTAAATTCAAGTCATAAATGATAAGTGGCTATGATTTAGTTTTAACAAAATATTATAAATTCTTTAATTTTGCTATTACCACTATTTTTAATACATATTTGTAACAACTGAAGTTAGTATCTTGTATCAAATTAATGATAATGATAAACATTTTATTTAATGATTTTTATTACTTTTGTATTGAGCACTTCTAATTTTGCTGAGATGAGGAAATAGTGAGAATATTCTTAAAAACAAACTTTTATAACATTGTCTGTAGAACACTTAGATAATTTTGATACAAAGGGTTTCCTTTAATTAAATTCTTGTCTCCATATCTACAGACCCCAGATTGTACCTGCAATGGCTGGAAGACACCAGTCACACAGCAAACAGCTAAAACCAATACCCGCGCAGACACCCAGCCTTTGGCTACTTTCAACGATCCGTGCCGGAATTGTAATCACATTTTAGGTGAGTATTCATATTTAATACCTTTATTGTTATAAAACAAAGTCATTGTATTAGCCAATGCTGCTACCAAAAGCCTTTATTGTAATCAAGTGCCAAATCGTTTATGAAACTGAAGAATTAACTACTATTTGTATGGTCTCCAAGTATTTTTATGTTATAATGAACTTACCATGTTCTTTGCTAAACAAAAATCCCATGGCACGCCATTTCTGGACTAGGTATCTTTCACTTTTATGGTTTACGTTTATTTTCAGAGAAACATGTAACACAGCTGCAAACTTTGCCGGTGACAGAAGTGAACCGCTTGCTCGGTGCAGTGGTTGATGTGGAGAATATATTTATGTCCATGCACAGGGAAGACGATCATGACACTAAACGAGTTTATTACTATTTATTTAAAGTAAGTTGTTACATTTTTCATTAATTTGTTTAAAAACTTTAATTATAAACAATACAACAATAATATAAATAACGCCTAGGATGCGCTCCAGGATATACATAACGCGACATTTTATCGATTTTAGACAATAAACCCATACTTTTGTCGTCCGATAAGGTCATATCGGGGCGCACATCCTAAGCTATGGCAATATGTATACTGGGCTAATATTATTTGTATGGATTTATTCAATTTGTGCCATACCATAATACTTTTTGCTTCAGTTAGACCAGTCTTTCCCAAAGTGGGCGATAACGCCCCCTTGTGGGCGCTGTAGGCTTAAAGGGGGGCGGTAAGAGACCCAGAATAAAAATCGGGACGTTGTGTAGAGGCTTGGGAGGCGTCATCTACTAGGAGGACTCTTAGACATCGATGAGCTCGACTCTTGACTACAAAAATGGGGGGCGCTAAAAAAAATAATTTATTCTCATAGTGGGCAGTAGACTAAATAAGTTTGGGAACCACTGGGTTAGACGTTGACTCCTTAAAATACTTTTTTCCCATTCACAGCTCCTCCGCAAATGCATTCTAACCCGCACCTCGCCTCGCATCGAAGGGCCACTAGGGCAGCCTCCGTTCGAGAGACCCTCGATAGCCAAGGCTATCACCAACTTCGTACTGTACAAGTTCCACACGCTGCCACAGAGGGAGTGGCAGACCATGTACGACTTGGCCAAAATGTTCCTACACTGCTTCAATCACTGGAATTTTGAAGCACCTAGCGTTAGAAAATTGGTAATGGATATTTCTCAAGTCATGTTGTGTTTTTTACGTTCGTTTCAGCCAAATGTGTCAGAAGAATATAAATTGTAATAATACTTTTTTACATTACAGCAAGTGTCAAATCCTGAGGATATCTCGGCATATCAAATTAATTTTACAAGGTAAGAGAGACTTTATTTTTTATGATTTCTTGTTATCTCTAACACTATTATATTTCAAGTTTCTGGATAAATAGATTTGCTCTAGTGATACTACACACTAGAGCAGGGGTGGCCAACCGGTCGCGAATATTAGTCCAGTCGATCGTGGCAAGGCAAAAAATACTACATGATTGTGTACTAAACTATGCTGTTTCATTTAAGATTCCAAGAAGTATGTAAGTGATAGATCGCCCAGGGTTTCGTTAGAAAACAGTAGATCTTATGTCTAATACTCTAATCAAGTTGGCCACCCCTGCACTAGAGTATTTATTTCAGCAGATAGCTTATAAATCTGTCACTTATAATAACGCACAAAGGCCTTTTGCATGAGGGTGCACTCACACTACTATTGTTCGTTCGCCAGATGGTTGGTGTTCTGCCACGTTCCCGCGTTCTGCGACTCGCTGCCGCACTACGAAACGTCGCTGGTATTCGGTCGCACGCTGCTGCGCGCCGTGTTCAAGTCGGTGTGTAGACAGCTCATGGACAAGTGCCATTCGGAACGCGACCGCATGCCGCCGGAGAAGCGAGTGAGTGGATACCTTTACTTTTATTTGACCTTTGATGAATCATCCACTTTATTTTCAATGACCGATTTATTTTCACCATTTGACTTATTTTTTCTTTTTTTATTAAAACTTATTTGATTCTTATCTTTAGAATCCCTTTATTCTTTACAATTCTCTTTCGTCATTTTAAAATAAGTTACCAACTGAACTAGTACTTTTCTACAAATTACAATTTTTACAAACTTAAAAAAAAAAAAGATATTTAAAGTGGTAACTTGTTCTAGTTCTTCTTCTTTTTTTACTGTATCTCATAATATCATGTTGATAACCTATCAAATAAATAAATACTTCAAAGATTTTTTTACCGAATGTTTTTTATTATTACATTTTAATTGTAATCCTTAATTTTTAAAGCACTTCACTGTAGCAACTAAGGCCTAGTGTTCTTTTTCAACACAATTCTCCGCTCCGCTCCGCCGTGGTGGAAACCAGGCCTGATATAGTCTGGTCTGTGAGCAATTATGTTGCTGTCGCGCTCGCACACCCACTGCGGGCGCCCGTCGCACAGTCGCGACAGCAACATAATTACGCGCGAGCGATAAGCTTGGGGTCATTGGACAAAATTCGACGTGCTCACAGACCGGGCTTTAGACGTGATGAACAACCGACGATGTTCTTAGGTGCTGGTCTTGACGCACTTCCCTCGTTTCCTGGCGCTGCTCGAGGAGGAGATCTTCAGCGCCAGCTCGCCCATCTGGGACCCCGAGTTCAAGCAAATGCCGCCCAACCACCACCTGCAGGCCATCCTCGAGAACAAGACCAGTGAGTCCAGGACATCTGTCTTTCTTTTTAGGACCCTCGCCGACTTTTGTTCACACAGCATCGCTACTAACGCGCGTTAGTCGCATTTGCAACGCACTACATAAGCGAAGCCAACGCGCTACAGTAGCGCGACTGTATCGATGCAAATGCGCGACCGTGTCGAACGACATCGGGAAGAGAACGGAGTGAGGGTTACTGAATCGCGTTTGCATCGCGACAGAAGTGCATTTATGTGGGCGGGGGCACACAGCTAGCGATCGCATTGCGACTGTATCGATGCGAACGCGCGACAAAATCGCTACTGCATCGCTACAAAAAGTCGCCGTGGGGCCTCACATATTAATATAACCTGTATAATACATCACATAACTAGTGTCCGACCGAAAATTGATTTTCAGCCGAAAACGAAGCAAAGGCCGGGTTGCTACAATGAATCCTTGGCCAAGTCTGTCCTTAACTGTCAAATTTCAATTTGTTTTTGGAACCATGAGTGCACCCGATTCACTCCGAAGATATTTGATACGTCATCATCTTATTCACAAATTTCTGATATTCGGCTTGGCCGAAGCTTCGGGTGGTTTCCGGCCGAAAACGAAAATATGGCCGAATGTCTGTCTATGTTTTAGGCAAATATGGCCGAAAACGAATATTCGGTCGGTCACTACAACATAAAACTCAAGGGTATCAAGACCAAGAATCGAATGGTTGATACAACCCGGTCGAGTTAACTGGCAGCCGTGACGTCACATCGACGCTCTGGTAGTATGAGAGAGACTCGCATTCCAGCGAAGTGCGCAATTAGCTCGACCGAGTTGTAAATTATTTTTCAATTCATTAATTTCTTTTTTCATACAGACAAGTTCACTTACTAATCATGCCACATCATTTCTTTTACGGAAAAAATCTGCTGAAGAATCTTTAGTATCACTGCAACTCAAAAGCAGCTTCGGCTGGGTTGCACCATCTTACTTTCACTTTGACAAACGTCAAAAATCTGTCAAACTCCATACAAAAACACCGCTTATCGTCAAAGTTAAGTGATGCAACTCAGCCTTAATCAATTGTAAATACTATTTGTTTGTCGTGTTTGCAGTGACTAAAGCCTGGTCCGTGAGCACGTAGAATTTTGTCCAATGACCCCAAGCTACCCATCCTTATCGCTCGCGCGTAATTATGTTGCTGTCGCGCTCGCACACTCACTGCGGGCGCGCGTCGCACAGTCGCGGATTCTACGTGCTCACGGACCACCTTTACCAACTATCAAGGCAAAAGCATAATCCTCTCATGCTCGCACTAAAAAGAATTAAAATCGTGCTATGAAAAGTAATGTATAAACTAATCTAATTTTCTAAAATGTTATAGTGTCATGCTTCTCAATCTGGACTGTTACTTAGCTTTATTATTGTTTTTTTTTCTTCTCTAAGAGATAACTTGGTATTGTCATTCTCACTAAAATGTCTCTGGGGTGGTGGCGTAGTGAGGCGGGTCGTTACATTCCCTCTAATATGGTCGAGTGAAGCGATGGCTGGTTCACTCGTCATGTCTGTGAACAGGCGCTGCTTTCGGGGACTGGTCAATCCAAGTTATTCCAACTTATGTATGCGAGTCATTTCTACAAGTTTTTAAGTATGTAATCTGTAAGTCTAGATATTAGCACGTCACTACCTTGTTTAATATACCACGCAATTTTGTATACCCATTCTTATAAGATACACTATACAAGAATGCATGGTAAATTCAGTGAACTGCTCCTGAATCGAATGTACCNCTAGATATTAGCACGTCACTACCTTGTTTAATATCCCACGCAATCTTGTATACCCATTCTTATAAGATACACTATACAAGAATGCATGGTAAATTCAGTGAACTGCTCCTGAATCGAATGTACCTTCCTCTGCTATTTCTATTTATTTATATTAACCGGCAGACAGTGGTGACTGAGTTTGTTGCGGCGCTTCTTCTCAGCACTTGCCAAATGTTGGTCTCGAAGCGCTGGTAGGGTAAAAAGATTATGAGACATGTAGAGGCTCCTTAAGAGCAAAATGACGATTTGTAAGAACTATTTATTAGTCTAAACAAATAAAGAAATTTTGACTTTTGAATCAGATTGTCTTCGAAATAACACAGTTAGAAGAATTCATGCTTTTCATAATAATTCCATTATACTAGTAATATAAGATCATACAATCATTTCACGCTTCCATCCAAACCATCCAAGGACAAGGCAAGGCAAGAGGACCACACAACGCTTGGCATTACTTGTAGTAATCGTTTATTATTTTTTTGCAAATATCGTACCTACATTACGCATTTTTATTATTTGTGTCATTTTTAATAAGTATACTTTATGACCTGCAATCAGGTTTCAATATTTATAATGATTGAGTAATTTAGTCTAGATAAAGATAATTTTTACGTTTATCAAATAAATAAGTTTGTCATCACCAATTTTTTTACGCCGTATGTTCTTTCTTTTGCATTTTTTATAGAAATAGGCAACTCTGCAACGAATATGTTACTGTAACATCGATGCCAACGCGAATGGCTAAGGCTGAGTTGTACCACCATACTTTAACTTTAACAAACGCCAAAAGTATGTCAAACTCCATACAAAACACACCGGTTATCGTTAAAGTTACTCTTAAAGATAGGTTGTACAACTCAGCCTAACAATGCCAATTTAATTTTGTTTTTGTTTAATTTTGCATGGTACTTCATCTTATAAATCAGTAGTTAATCAACTCTGAACCTTGCTTCCTAGTGTTAGCGCATAAAATACAGTGGCTTGTGTACTGTTGTGTGCAGCGGGCCGCCGCGGTGAGTTCGAGCGCGTCACGCCCAGCGGAGAGAGTAAGGACGGTTTCACCACCGTCTCGCTGTCCTCAGGTAACGTCACAAAATAATTCAGGCCTGCGCAAATTGGGGATTGTACACGAGGTGCTTTTTTTTCCCATCAGTATAAATACACTCGGCATCAAATAAATCGCACCTCCCGCGACAAGTACTTATCAAACGTATGCAATATGCATCCCCACTTTCCACCAACATTGGTACCATTTGAAAGCCTAGTTCTAAACTTCATTTCATTAAAGGAAAGGTTTTTACCCCAAAAATGTGTCTTTACAAGGATCCAGAGTCACTACTTCAAAAAATAGGTAGTTACGCTATAGCCATTTTTTATGACTATAAAACTGTTAAGTTGGGATTAATCGCTATCCATCTGTTAAAGAGGACACGTGAGATCTTTATTTGGTTTTATAACCATAAAAATTGGTCTAATTGATCCCAGAGGTGAGCCCAAAGTGAGGTCTATTTTCAAGTCACGTTTATGGTATATGTTAATCATTTATTTAGAAATGACGTGTATTTTTCTTCAAGGATATTTATTGGGCTTTCAAATAACACCAATATTGTTGGGGTACCATGATTGTGTCAGAAGAAAATCTTTAAAGTTCGCGTCGCGGAAGGTGCGGTTTATTTGATGTTGAGTGTAGATATTTTATAAAATGTATCAAAAACTACCCCGTAAGAGCGGACCATAGCACTTAGTCAGTGTCTAAAGTATCTGAGGGGGAGGGGTTTTTGTAACGTCAAACTTACAAAGCAACAGTAAGACTTCAGATCTCCTTCAGATTTGGCTCCTTCTGATGGGTGTGAAACGTGGAAGGTCACCAAGGTTATCTCGCACCAGCTGCAGGTCTTCATCAACCGCTGCCTTCGCCGAATTCTCGGCATATACTGGCCCGAGAAAATCTCCAACTTCGAGCTATTGGAACGCTGCCACGAAATTCCGATCGACCAGCAGATCAAGCGCCGCAAGTGGAACTGGATTGGCCACACTCTCCGAAGGGACCCCGATCACATCCCTAAGCAGGCTCTGGATTGGAATCCCCAAGGAAAACGCAAACGTGGTCGACCCAGGCAAACTTGGCGGCGCACTGTAGCGGACGAGGCGAAGAAGATCGGCAAGACCTGGAGCGAGATCAAGCGAGAAGCTCAAGACCGAACGCGATGGAGGACTGTTGTGGACGCTCTCTGCCCCATCTAGGGGACATAGGACCATAACGTTCACGTATTATTTCAATGTCACCAGGTCACCCCTCCCGTGCCGCTCCTCAGGCATACCTCAGGCACTGACTGAGTTAACGCTAGTCCAAACCAAAAATACAGGGGAGTTACAGAAAAAATTAAACTAACGTGACTAGTCTGCCTATAATTTCAGATTATATACCCCCTTAATGATGAAATGATCGCACACCGTATACGTAGAGTCCGTGGCAAGTTCAAGACGAAATTTTTTTCATGATTCCTGTGGATAAGTCCCTCATTTGCGCAGGCCTTTAGTTGTAGTGTATTGCACCAGGCGAGTTTTCTTGTGGTAATTGCATATAATGTTTAAATTGTGGCAGCGAATCAGTGGTCTGAGCTTTTGCTTTATTTGAATTACTCATTGCATAACAAGCGTGCAAGTATTATAGATGACCCACGCTGAACTGTCCCACCAAACTCAATGACAGGGGGGCGCTACCATCGTTCAACTATATGGTTTCCAACATGGCAAAAATCTGAACCAGCGATCCGGTATTGACGGTGGCGCCCCACTGTCAATGTCATCGACAGGACAGTCCAGTATTTTGGAACTATATGCTTTTAGAGTATTGATTGCCAAGCCTTAACATGAGCGTCATTCAGAATACCACATGCTGAGTATTGGACGCATGTGCCATTGTTACGAAAGACATGGGAGCTTGGAATGATATGACTGGGTTTCGGAGGGAAAATTATGGAGAGTAAACTAAACGCATATTGTGTAAAAAATTGCACCAGTTCGTCTTGTGACGTTTTGAATAAACGTAACTGTGTAAATGTGGAATGTACTTGATTAAATTGTTTTTAAAGTTATCAAGAAATGTTGAAAACTGAAAACGAACTAACACTGAGTAACACTGTTTTATGACAGTATATCGCCTCATTTTCAACTACGTTTCTGTGTCTTTAAAAATGTACACTGGCACAAGATTTTTAATATTTTTTTCATTATTGTGGTGTCGGTTTATCAGTCTTTTCCATTGTATTCTTGCTTCTCTAACTGAAATACCAAAGGTAGTATAAAGCTGTTGAAACATTGTTAAACAAATAAAATAAAATAAAAATAAGCTACGAGTACAATCATTGCCCAAAACCCCAACAGGTTCAATAAAGCAAGAAGGCGTTCGCGAGGGCAAACGCGCCGCCGACGGGCGCGTCGGAGAGCCGCCCGGAGCCAAGCGGCGCCGCGTGGCCGACGAGGCGGGCGATGACGTCAGCGAGCGCACAGTGGCCGACATCGTGGCAACCATATCCGACCCCAACTACATGTGCGGACCCGACGTGAGTGCGATGTGTGTTACTAAAGCCTGGTCCGTGAGCACGTAGAATTCTGTCCAATGACCCCAATCTACCCATCCTTATCGCTCGCGCGTAATTATATTGCTGTCGCGACTGTGCGACGCGCGCCCGCAGTGAGTGTGCGAGCGCGACAGCAACATAATCACGCGTGAGCGATAAGGATGGGTAGCTTGGGGTCATTGGACAAAATTCTACGTGCTCACGGACCAGGCTTTAGCTCTGTCTATGACGGCGCGCCGGGAGCCGCCCGGAGCCAAGCGGCGCCGCGTGGCCGACGAGGCGGGCGATGACGTCAGCGAGCGCACAGTGGCCGACATCGTGGCAACTATATCGGACCCCAACTACATGTGCGGGCCCGACGTGAGTGTGATGTGTGTTACTAAAGCCTGGTCCGTGAGCACGTAGAATTCTGTCTGTGATTATGTTGCTGTCGCGCTCGCACACTCACTGCGGGCGCGCGTCGCACAGTCGCAACAGCAATATAATTACGCGCGAGCGATAAGGATGGGTAGCTTGGGGTCATTGGACAAAATTCTACGTGCTCACGGATCAGGCTTTAGCTCTGTCTATGACGGCGCGCCGGACCTCTGACCGAGACCTCATAGTAATGTTTGTGAATACGGGCGTAAGCGTCGGGCGGACAAATTTTACAGCAGCTATACTTGACTATAGAATTTGACAGCGGCGGTGGCGCAGAGCGGAGAGGAGAAGTGAAAATAATGAAATTTGATTGGTTATTCAAAACACTTCTCCGCTCTGCTCCGTCTTGGTGGAATCCGGGCCTTCCTGGCTCTGTCTGCCGACAGCGCCCCGGGAGCCACCCGGCGCCAATGTCAGCCGGCGTCAGTGGCATCGTGGCTACCATCTATTACCCAACCAGTGGTGGCCGTAGCATTGGGTTGGCACCCGGGGCGATTGTGAGTCCATACTTTAAATTGGGTATATGTACATGCATATAGCGGGGGTCCAAGAATGGTCTGATGCCCCCCGGGATTTTTGGGTTACCGATTCGAAGATGAAAGATTGATACCTACCAATCACACGCGTATCTTGACAATGCGCCAGTGAGTACTAATCTGCGCGACTGATGCTTGGCACCCGGGGCGGACCGAATAATCAACTCCACCTGTGTTCTCAGGCACTGTTCCAGACGCAAGCGCCGCGCGACGAGGCGGCCAAGCTGGAGGAGCAGCGCAAGATGATCGAATTCCACGTCATCGGCAACTCGCTCACTGGCCCTGTCAACAAGCAGACCATGCTCTGGCTCATAGGTAACAAAACGTCGTTCATATTGCAATTTGTTCAACGTCAAAAAATTCAAAAAAAAATCTAACAAAATATACATTATTTATGGACACTTTTATATTTATACTAGCGGCCGCCCGCGACTTCGTACGCGTGGATCCTGTTTTACCCCCTTTTCCCGAATTTTCGTTGCTATAAACCTCACGGAGCCCGAGACCTTTCCAACGAATGCAAAATCGTGGAAATCGGTTCGTGCGTTCTGGAGTTATAGCGTCAGGGAGGAAAACCCGACTTATTTTTATATAGTAGATTAAAAAGAACAAACTGCTTAGGAAACATTAGTTAAAAAACATTTTGGTGTCTTAAAAGATTTTTTTCCCGTAAGTACGCTGTTTTCTTACTCTCCTGTAAACTTGTAATTTTTGACATAGAACAAATTGCAATATGAACGACGAAAACTTACTTCAATTTGTGCACTTCAAATTATTAACTCTTTAAAAAAAAAGAATAAAAATCTCTGCTCGACGCTTGATTGACTTCTCAATATTTCAGTAAATCTACAATAGACAGAATTATAGTCGGAAAAATATGTCGATTCAACCAAAGGACCACTGCTAGAAAAATTACTCCCCAAAGGATATCCACAATGACCAGTCCTGCAGTTGCCCATTACATTATCTTCCGACCCGTGATAGTGACTCGAGAACTTTGCCCCATTGGCCATCAAATCTACAAGTTATCCGCTGCCACCAAAGTTATACAGCATAATCACTTTTATTTTCTCTCTCTCACTCACTCTCTTACTTTCTCTCTTCATATAAAAATAATTACGTTTTTTTTTCAGGTCTTCACAATGTTTTTTCACACCAACTCCCAGAAATGACCAAAGAATACATCTCGCAACTAGTTTTTGATCCGTAAGTATTTGAACAATCAAATGAAACAACACCTTAGTATTACTGTTATTTAAATGCATTTTATTTTAACAGGAAACACAAAACTTTAGCGCTAATAAAAGAAGGCAGACCCATTGGCGGGATTTGCTTCAGGACATTTAATTCCCAAGTAAGTTACTTTTTCTAAAAATATAGTCGTAGACGTGTTTACCTCTCTCAATTTTGACGCCAATTAATAGAATATCTTTGTTTTGTGGTCATTCCCAATCTGCTGTCGACTTCCAACTCATACCTTACACTAAATTCTAGCTTATTAGAACACTTTATTCTAGAAATTCCCTTTTCTTATTAGGGTTTCAGTGAGATAGTATTTTGTGCGGTGACGTCAAACGAGCAGGTGAAAGGCTACGGGACCCACCTGATGAACCATCTCAAGGACTACCACATCAGAAACAACATTCTGCACTTCCTAACATTCGCTGATGAGTTCGCTATAGGTATGTATCCATAGGGTTAGTTTAATTGACTTACAATAAAAACGGCTATAATTCCATATTTACTTTGTTTTTGTAGGTTACTTATAATAAGAAACAGATTTCATTTAAATTCTCTGTCAACTCTGAACCTCCAAATCAACATCTAGTAGTCTAAACGAAGAATATTCGTGACAAAATTAAATTTAGTGAACGCTTTACTACTTCTTGTTTGTACAGACAACACGGATATTTGGCAAAATTGACGATTTGCCCATGTATGATACGTATGATACGACCTGCAAGCTTTCAAGAGGAGAGCACCTGTAATGCCCTGAATCAGGATCTACTTACAAAATTGGATCGCCTTGTCAACAATGCCATTCGCTTTATTTTCTGCCTGCGTAAATATGACCATATCTCCACTTACCGTTCCCAGCTTCAATGGCTGCCTCTCCCACTTCGACGCAAAGTCAGAATTCTCTCTACCCTTTTTTCAATTCTAAATGATCCCAACTCTCCTTCATATCTTAAGTCTCAGTTTAACCTTCTCAGCTCCACGCACTCACGTCAGCTCCGCTCCTCTAACAAGTCCGTTCTTTCCACCCCTCTTCACCGAACTGGTTTTCTCTCCGACTCCTTCCGTCTCCAGGCTATAAGGCTCTGGAACTCTCTGCCTGAAGAGACCAGGCAAGCGTCGAGTAAGTTTTCTTTTAAAAAATCAGTCCATAACCATTTCCTCCAAATGATCTCATCTTCATGAATTGTAATTTCAGTTTAACCCAATCATCTATTTTATGTATGTATTTATTTATTGTATATTTTATATATTATTTATGTATGTATGTAGCATTATTTGCTTTTTGTTTTTCTTTCCTGCACTAGAAGTACCGCCAAACAAATTTCTTTTCTGCTCAACCCAAAGGTAAACTGGTCGAGAATGCTTTAGTGCATTAAGTTCGCCTTATGTACAAATTTATTTTGGCATTAAAGTTTAAATAAATAAATAAATAAATGCCCCTGGGTCTGCGGGTGTCTATGGAAAAAAAACGTTCATTAGACTCACTGGTTGTGAGGCTCTAGTTCTCTACTGAGGCCATCTAGCATCTTCTAAAGTCTCAGCCATGACTACGATATCATTGGCGAATCAAAGATGAGTGATATGCTCACCGTTGATATTTTGCTGAGTCCCCTCCAGTCCAGAAACTTAACCCTAGAACCACAACATGGGGTCACCCATGACCCCACACACAAGTATTTTTATTTAGCGAGTTTTGCATCTACAATCCTGGGCGTCTAGGTACCTTCCGTAATTGATAATTCAGTGGCCCGTGACGCATGGCGGCGTGGGCACGCTCATTAGGTTCGGAGATTTTTCAGTTTGGACCCGTGTTGCCTCAATCTTTGAAAGTGATAATGATTCATGTTTTGGGAGTCTATGAAGAAAACAGTGCTCAAGTATCCCAAGCTCGATCAACTTCAAGTTCCCGCTGCTATTTATGCACTAGAGCCAAAGATAGGAAGGGCAGAGAGAAATGTGTTAAGTGCTCCAAAAATATATTGTGCACAACACAGGTTACCTATTTGTCATCAATGTGTCTAGATTTTAAGATTTTTACTTCATTTTTATTCCTTATGTAGTCCATTCATATCCAAAGAAACTTGTTAGAATTGTTAAAAGTTATTAAAGTTTGATATTTTGTACGTAATCATGTTATTTAATTGGGGTCACCCATGACCCGTGTTGTGGTTCATTTAACTAAATTTGGATGTTGTAGTTGTAGGGTTAAAAATATCTTCCAAAAACAGTCCCAAAGGTTCCACATTGTTCCATTTCTCACGTGAACATACCGTTGCAGGCTACTTCAAGAAGCAGGGCTTCAGCAAGGACATCAAGCTGCCGCGCGCCATGTACCAGGGCTACATCAAAGACTACGAAGGCGCCACGCTCATGCATTGTGAACTAAATCCAAAGATCGTGTATACCCACTTCACAGCCGTCATACGCAAGCAAAAGGAGGTAAGTCAGCAGTTTACACATCCCGGCTTTGTAGAAGAATCATATCAGCGACTTGTGGCAACATGTTAGCGACTTTAGTACACGCTCATTTGCACCAAAAAGGTTTGATGTAAAGACTTTTTTAAAAGCTTGGCCAAACAAAACGCGTTCCTAGCACGCTTTAAAGCGTGTTATAGCGCCATGTACCAGGGCTACATCAAGGACTACGAGGGCGCCACGCTCATGCATTGTGAATTAAATCCAAAGATCGTCTATACGCAAATGCGTACAGACGACGCGCAATGACGGCGGTGAAATCACCGCCGTCATACGCAAGCAGAAAGAGTTACGCACCCAGTAAAGCACTCTTTCACGTTTCCTCTAAAAGTGGGACACCCTACAATCGAAGTTATTGATGAACCTGGGATATCCAATTAAGTTCTAAGTCCTGCTTGGAAATATCAATCGTCGAATACAACTCGCCTGTAGACTTAGGAGGCGTGCCATGATAAGCGGTTGTCACGCCGTTTTATCGATTTTGCCCATACATTTGATGTCGATAAAGTATATCACGGCGCGCATCTTATCGTCTCAAGAGTAGGAAGTCTTTGGGTGTTCGCAAGAACTGAGATATGGTCAATTTACTATGGACGCAATTAAAATCAGTATTTAATTGGTTTATGTTTTACAGATAGTCAAGAAATTGATTGACATGCGGCAAAAAGAAGTAAGGAAAATTCATCCAGGACTCACCTGTTTCAAAGATGGCGTAAGTTGTTGTGATGTTTTCTCAATCGAATTCATTGTGTAAGTTCACCATACGCTTGATATTTATTTCAACACATGTTTTGTCCCACTACACGGGTTGGATAGGTTTTGTCTTAATTTACTTTTTACTGTTGCTGCTGACGTGATCATTCAGCGTAACGACGAAGTGAAGTGACAATACCTCCTAACTAAAATTTTTCAAGAAATCAATTTTCTTATTACAATAGGCTTAAAATTTAATTTCGCGTGTTTTTTTTCCATTCGTAATTTTTCTCCTAACTGATATTTCTTTTTATATAGCAATCAAACTATGTGGAAATAGCTGCTTTAAGCGCAAGTAATATTTACGTATTTTTTTCTCGCTCCTGAAATCCAAAAAAATAAATGCAGTTACGAGGTATTCTCACTTTACCGTCGGTATGTAGTTTATCACTTAGGCCCAGTTTTTTGATTCATAGTTAAAATAACTAATTGTTAAATATTAACAAAATGTAAACTAAGGCTGGGTTGCACCATCTTACTTTGACCTTAACAAACGTCAAAAATCTGTCAAACTCCATACAAAAAACAACGATTTGTCGTTATAATTACGGTCAAAGTTAGGTGGTGCAACTCAGCCTTATAGTTAAAAAATGAACTAAAGTCTAAAAGTCAAGCTAACCATTTTTTGAAAAACATTTTTTTTTTTGGCAATCCGCGCCGTGCCAGAGTCGAGTAAAACGGGGAAACGGGAGATTGAAATATTTTCGGCAACGGATTTAAATTTAGAAAATTAGGATCAGGAGTTGAAAATCATTTTTTCTGATATTTAACCACTCGTCGTTCGATATCTGTCAAATTTGACTATTGGTTATTTTAACTACGAATCAAAAAACTGGGCCGTAGCATGTCCTAATGATGGAATGTGTCAGGTGCGCTCGATCCCCGTGGAGTGCGTCCCAGGCCTGCGGGAGACGGGCTGGCGCGCCGCGCCGCGCGCGCCCGAGCCAGAGCCTGACGCGGACTTAGCCGCACTGAGGGCCGTGCTGCACCAGGTCAGGACACTTCCATAGCTGGGCATTAACTCGTTAATCCGTTAATCGTTAATTAACGAAGTTAACATTTATATTAACTGATTAACTTTTAAGTTCCCGGGTTAGAGGTCCCGGGTTCGATTCCCAGTGGGTGCAGATTTTTCTGCTCGGTTTGGTTGGTGGTAGGGCTTGTTCTAAGTCCGCCTGGCTAGCTACCACCATCTTACCTAAGTCTGTCGCCATAACAACAATGTTAACGGCATTGTTGTGTTCCGGCAGTTAGAGGTAAGAAAGCCAGTTCCTCCGTGGTTGAGGATTCCGGGTGAAGCTCGCTTCCACCTTTGGCCTGATCATCACTTACCATCAGGTGAGATACAGGCCAAGAGCTTCCTCGTTGTGTATAAAAAAAAAAAAAGTTAACTTTAAAAAAATTATCCTAAGTCCGTTAATCGTTAATCCAGTACCTACTATTTACCAAAAAGGTACAGCAGGCACGCTAAAAAACGCGTTCTGACAAGTACGTTCGGGCTTACAGAACTTCCAGAACCCAAAACAGTTTTTGTAAGCAGGTCACTAACGCAGCGATATAAAAAATGCAATTTTTTTATTTATTTACAACTGAATTTAAGACCAGTTCTCCTCAACCGATTGAGCTGAAATTTGGTATACCTACTTATGTAAGAAGGATGATAAATAGATAAATAATTGATAAATAATTAATAACTAATAATATAATTAATAATATAATTGAATTAATTAAATATTTATAAATTCGAATACTGTGTCCGACAAGGTCCATAATTGTATCTTATAAAACCATACATACCACCTCTGTAACATTATGGATGCAAAATAAAGAATAGGCTAGTTGCCACTATTTTTATTATTTGATAGAACGGTTTATTACGATTATATCACACCATAAAAAAAATATGAAATTTTTTTGAAGCACCTATCCTAATATATTTTAAATTTTAAATTATATTTTCGCTATACAGCCATAAACGCCGTCCGCCATGATGGTCTATTAATTATCTGTGCCGTGACGTCACTGTTCTTGTAAACAATACGCGTGAATAACATAACCTCTTTATCGGAATTTAAAACCATGGCTTCGAAAGGATTACATGATAAATATAGTAATTACCACTATTGTATCGTGCGGGAATGTAAGAATACATCAATAAAGAACCCAGAGAAGTTGTGGATTAAAGTACCCAGTGATGAGACTATGCGAAACACCTGGTTACAACTAGCTAAAAGAGATCCCGTAACTCTGTCCAGTGGAACTGCAGTGTATTTCTGTGAAGATCACTTTAATGTAAATATTTTTTCTTTCTAAATAAAGTTTCAGTTTATGCAACTTTGCGTGCAACTATGCGTAGTATTAACATTGGTTTTGTTTTTATTTTAGCTTGAAAGTGACATGGAAAATTACACACAATATAAAATTATGGGTTCAGTTAAAAGAATCAGAATGAAACCTAATTGTGTTCCAACTCGATTTAGTTGTCAAATGGAGAGAAAACGCAAGCATTTGGTAACAAATGATGAGGATGTTGTCAAGAAAAGAGTTTATCCCATTGAACAATCTTCATTATCAATTAGTTCAGGTGAGGTTATAAAATATATTATGTCCGACAATTTTAATTGCATGTTGACCATCATTTAAATGATTTATTCATGTAATTTGTTCGTTTCAGAATTGCTTATGGAGGATGCTGTACCATCTTGTTCTTCTGTTGAAGATAAGATTTGTGACAAAATAATGCAAGCAGAACAATGTAATCCTCAGTTCAGAGATAAGGCAGTGCAAGCTGAGCCAGAACATCAACATGCATCATGCCAAGTAGTTCCAAATTATGATCACAAGGTCACTCAAGTATCAATAATGAAACACTATAGAAGTAAGAAGGTGCAATTTAGTGCAACTCTGAAAGATGCCATATCTTCACCAATAAAGTCTACGTCCCACCAATCAACTACAACATCTCCCAACAAATCTACATTTAGAAGTAAATTGTCAACAAGAAGATTAGTTTTTTCTAGTGAGGAAAAATATGACAGTGATGTATCATACACACCTTCTATAGCAGGATCATCCTTTGACTCTTCTCCATCTAAACCATCTAGTCAGTCAACTGTTGATAGCTATTTGAAAGGAAAAATTAAAAAAGATGAGCAAGTGAATCTACAATGTACTTTATCTTTAATAAGGCAAAAGCCAAGATTGTACATTGGGGTACCAAAAAATCTGTTTTTTTTAATTGAAATGATTTCTAATAAGACCAATCTATTAGAAAATCATATTTTTCTGTGTTTAATGAAAATTCGCACAAACAGAACCTTTTCTGAACTGGCAGATGCTTTTGATATCTCCCTACCTCAAGCTAGTAAAATATTTGTAAATAAAATGCCTACAATGGACATGGCGCACAATTNGTGTTGTCGAGATATTTGTTTTTATTCGCAAACGAAATGTCTGAACAACGGCGACAATTTTATTTCGATTCAAATTTATTCCTAACGCTCGATTTATTGTGGGCAAAAGAAGGAGTGCGCTGCCCGCTCGTTGCCCGCTCCCTCGCCGCTGGCCGCTCGTTGACCGCTGCCGCGCCGCTGTTTTCGAGAACCGGTCTATTTGATTTTACGCATAAGATCCTGCCGCTCCCGCGCCGCCGCCGCCGCCGCCCCGCTGCCCGCTAAGTTCGAGGCCGAGCAGAGGCCTCAAAGTATAAAGGTGTTCACGCGGCGCGTATAAACAGTGCAAAGGCGCGGCGACGGCGCGGCGGCGGCGCGGTAGCGGCGTCGTGTGCAGGAGCGCTTACGAAAGTTTTCCAAAATGTTGATGTATGTTAACCGAATGTTGTAAACGTCAAGGGAATCACATGTACGATAAAATTTATAAAAGAAAGTAAATTTTAAAATAAATTGCACTAAATATCCTTTAAATTGCAATAGCTAAAGTTTTACAAAAAGGTACCTACAGTTTTCGTTTCCTTGAATTTTCAAAAGTGAATTTTCTTCTGGGCCACCCTGTAAAACAATATACACGAAGTTGTGGAGAGATGGTGCTCGTGCTAGGCTCCGGAGATCATCCTGTGTTACTAGTTTTTTATTTTATTTTTATTGAAACGCTATTGGAATATTTTAAAATTCATGATCACATAAGTACCTAAGTATATATTACAGTGCGTTTATTAATCGTTTATTTATATATGGATTGTGTAGGTAAACGTATAATTATATATTTTTTCCTGTGAAAAAAAATTTGCTAAATTTGCCGCCCCTCTAAATCTGCCGCCCTAGGCACTGGCCTACTTGGCCTATTGGTAAATCCGCCACTGTTACGGCTACTTGAATAGCAACTAGTATCAAAACTGCAAAAATGAGTTTTTCTCGTAATAGTTAAACTAGGACTGCATAGTGGCATTAAATACAAATGGATAATTTTTAGCGTAGGAATTTTAATAAAGCAACATTTTATCATCATCATCATCATCATTTCAGCCATAGGACGTCCACTGCTGAACATAGGCCTGTACCCCAATGATTTTCATAATGACCGCTTGGTAGCGGCCTGCATCCAGCACCTTCCTACTTACCTTTATGAGGTCGTCGGTCCACTTTGTAGGTGGACGTCCTACGATGCGCTTTCCGGTACGTAGCCTCCACTTGAACCCTGTTGCCCCATTGGCCGTCCGTTCTGCGTTTTTGTGATTACTTAATTTTTGTTTTAAACCTTATAAATGTGCCTATAGACAGATACCCGTGATAATACACGGCTCGGAAACGTGGATTTTTTGGACAGCGTGCTATGGAAGGGGCTATGCTCGGGTTTCTTTACGAAATCGTATCAGAAATTAGGAGATCCGTAAACGAACTAAAGTCGCTGACATAGCTCGATGGATCAGCAAGCTGAAGTGGCAATGGGCAGGGCACAGTAGTTTGCAGAACTGAGGCGGCAGGGTTAAAGTAGAGGCTACGTACCGGAAAGCGCATCGTAGGACGTCCACCTACAAAGTGGACCGACGACCTCATAAAGGTAAGCAGGAAGGTGCTGGATGCAGGCCGCTACCAAGCGGTCATTATGAAAATCATTGGGGTACAGGCCTATGTTCAGCAGTGGACGTCCTATGGCTGAAATGATGATGATGATGATGATAAAATGTTGCTTTATTAAAATTCCTACGCTAAAAATTATCCATTTGTATTTAATGCCACTATGCAGTCCTAGTTTAACTATTACGAGAAAAACTCATTTTTGCAGTTTTGATACTAGTTGCTATTCAAGTAGCCGTAACAGTGGCGGATTTACCAATAGGCCAAGTAGGCCAGTGCCTAGGGCGGCAGATTTAGAGGGGCGGCAAATTTAGCAAATTTTTTTTCACAGGAAAAAATATATAATTATACGTTTACCTACACAATCCATATATAAATAAACGATTAATAAACGCACTGTAATATATACTTAGGTACTTATGTGATCATGAATTTTAAAATATTCCAATAGCGTTTCAATAAAAATAAAATAAAAAAATCGTAACACAGGATAAATTGGCAATAGGTGGCATAATAATGGTTACTTTTTAGCGCTTAGTTTGAAATGTGATTGAACGATGACAACTAACAACAGTTGTCAGTTAGGTAAAATTTTATTTTAGTTGGAAAAAGACAAAAAGTGGTAAATGGGTTAACGTCCGGGGGCTGCAAAATCATGTTGTGACGTCACGCGCGAATATTGAACATTTTTGAAAATTTTAAAAAGTCCGTAAACTTCTCGAGGCTCTATCTTCGGTAATACTGGATGGATTGAGGTGAAATAAAAACTAGTGTAATGTGTGTGATCTAAACTTTAAATTAAGTCATAATTTAACTTAATATTACAACTTATGCGTGTTGTCCATTGTAAGTGTACTCTCCCCATTTGTTCAGACTTTTACTACATGCACTATAAAAAAAAATCTTCCCATAGCATTTCGCCATAAGTATAATAAAGTGAATTGCATAATAGATTGCTTAGAAATAGAAATTCAAAAACCAAAAAAAGCTCTTCACCAAGCACTAACTTGGTCGGAGTACAAAAAAGCAAATACTATGAAATATTTAATAGCTTGTACACCTGATGGTTTGGTTACTTTTGTGTCATCTGGATATGGAGGCAGGATAAGTGATGTCAACTTACTTGAAGACAGTAAATTTCTAGACAGCTTACAGCCAAATTCTTGTATTTTAGCCGACAGAGGGTTCAAACACATTGAAGTTTATTTAAGTCAACGTGGTTTTGCTTTATTAAGGCCTCCAAGTGTTCCTGCTGGAACAAAACTAACTAAACAAGAGGTAAAGCAAACAAAAGAAATAGCTAGCCTTCGGATCCATGTTGAAAGAGTTATTCGAAGAATACGTGAGTTTTCTATGTTAAAGCCACATTCTGTAGTTAACTTAAATTTTTTAAGTGTACTCGATTTCTGTGTGACTACTGCTTGTGCTCTTATAAATTTACAAGACTCTCTCATTCAATAAATTAAATGATACATACATAAAGTATTTTATTTTTATATCAGTCTCCACACTTCAAATATTCAAAAATTAGTCTCCCCACTACGTTGTAAGAGGAACTGCTGTGCTAAATTTCAAGTTTCTTACCCTTATACATGAGGCAAAAAGAGGTTAAATGTTTGATAGCATTGATATGTCAGTCAGTCAGGTAGCTTCTTTCGTACTACTGGTTTTCCCATGATTTAAGTTTATTCTTCTCAAACATACATACATACACACATACAAACATCTTTCTTTATAATATTAGTAAACATTACATATCGAAACAGATTGATAGAAAAGATAAAATTTTGTTATTTTACTATTCAGAGATTAACTAATGTAAATTAAATGTGTTTTTGAACTGAATGAGTTAATGAGTATTTTTGTCTTAATACTAGACTTACAAATAGGTAAAAACAATAAAGCTAATACTAAGAGTTAAATGATTTATTATTGAGTTACACTTTCAAATAGTTTAGGAAAAATATGTTGTGACCAGAATGGTACTATCTGATCAATAAGTTTTTTTACATATAGTTCATTATAACATATAGGTAATATCGTCACCTCCTTAGTATTTTCGAAATCACTGCCAGCAACACAAAAATATGTTAATTTTGCTTTTACACAATACATCTGAATTTGGACTTGAGCTAAACATTTCTCTGATAATTGAGAATGTTACTAGGTATGCAAAATCACTTGAAACCTATGTTACAGTTAAGCTTTTACATTTACAAATACATTAGTTTTTATTTCATTCAAAAATACCCAGTAGTTATGATTTTATAGGCATTCAAAGTTCGCTTAAATATTGAGTCCCGCCGACGGTCACGTGTCCCCGTGTGACGTACATTCACAGCGTCCGCTCACTATAAAACGGATATAAACATACTTAAATATTTTTTTTTTGTAAATACAAACTTATTATACATATTAACACCCAGACCCATCACAGAAATTAAAATTGAACCAAACCCAAACTTGATGCGACTGTGTAGTTTTATTGCGAATTACCTTCTAGCTCCATCATTAGACCCCGATTACTATATAGAATTAAAATACTCATCAATACAAAACGAACGAGCCCAAACTCGATGCATTTAAGTCGTTTTATTATAGAGTTCCTATGGCCACCTTCCAGCTCCATCATCAGATCAGCTCCATGTCATCATAATATTGCATGGTCATCCAAATCACATGTGTTTGCGAAATTTCAGCTTAATCGGTTGCCTGGAAGTGGGTCTTAATTCAGTTTGCAAGATTCCACCCATACAAATATGAGCCAGTCGTTGTAATATGACGTCACGCGCATAAAATGGCGGGCCGGCCGCCGCCCGCACTTTTAAAATTCAATATCTTGGAAACTAATTGACGTATCGAAATAATTCTTTCACGAGTATTTTTTATTTTTAACAGAGAATACAGAAAGCTAAAAAACAAAATTAGTGAACATTCTTCATTGTCCATTTTTAATGTAATATTCTCTATTTTTTTCATTAGAGGGGCATTTAATTTCAATAATTCCCTTTGTACTTATTCCATCTGGTGAACCAGCGATCATAGGGTATTCATCAGAAATAAAGAGGCCACATTTTGCAAACCTTAATCCCAATTTTTTTTCAACAACCTCTCGGACTTTTTCTTCCAGCTTTTGGCCTCGTTTCATTGCAGCCGTCAACACAGACCTTGCACCAAAAATCTTTGCAACCAAAGAACCATCATGTGTTCTGCACCGACTAACTTCAAAGCTTTTTGAGGCTGTTACTCTACCATAGCGAAGCTCAAACCAGAGAGAACTTTTGTTTTGATTTCTGGTTTGTATTTCTGCAGACTTTATATTTTCTTCATTGAAGAGATGTTTAGTTTTTGAAAGAAAACTGTCACAAGTCTGTTCTTTGTATGTATTAACTAAATAATGTAAAGATAATATCAATTTTTCATCTTCATAATCTCCAACATGCTTGATAAACTGACATGATTTAATTTTTCGGTTTTTGCATTCAATTAAAAATTCCTCCATAACACTGGTATCTGGTTCCGGAACCTGATGTTTTCTTTTGCACATTTCTTTTGCAGTTAACACTTTAATTGTGCTGCCGACTTTTGACAGATTAGATTTTTTCCAGTAGCATTCTACTGATGTGCAAGATGGCTCTTCACTGCGACGATGCAACCACATTAAAAATGCAACAGCATGTTTGCAGCCCCCTGCTGCAGCTGGACAATCTTGACAAAGAACACTAATAATCTCTTCTTTTTCTTCATCAATGACTGCTGAAACTGTATACTGCTTAGAGCGCACCTTATGTTCAGGACACATTTTACATTTCACAGTGCAGATTTTACTTTCCCTTTTAAGTTGAACATAACCAATTGCATCATCACCATATGATTCACCTGCAGACCTGAAAAATAATATAATAATTTACCAATCAGAAGTCAGAGGTTAGAATACACTTATTAGTACTTATTTCCTTATTTTCATTTAATGATGTGGTCTAAATTAAAAAAAGGTGTAAATGAACTGTACTTACTTAGTTATCTTAACATTCCTTAGCTCAGCTGAGCAGAAATCAGGATTTAAAGCAAAAAAATTTGCAACCATTAGTGTGTCGATTTTGGGCAGATTTGTGCTTTCTGCTTTCACAAACCCAGGATCCATGATAATTTTTTAATAAATGCGAACTGTACAAGATTTTTATGTGAAAACAAGGCGTTTATATGAAAGACCACGAATAACCTGAAACTAGTGTTTGACGTTTTGTTGTTTACAATATTGGTGACGTAGAAACATGGCGGACGGTGTTTTCAGTCAAGAGAAAAAAAAGTAAAAAATTAACGGGTTTCAGTTGAATTTTTACAGCAATCCCTTATTTATATTTATTGAAGTTTATATATTTCGGACCCTTGTACAGAATAATATTTGAATTAAAAGTTATTATGATAAATTGTGACATGAGGCAACTAGCCTATTGAGTATTGAATTGAGTATTGAGGACGACAATGCAATGTTATTGTACCATTGAGCTGGTCTAATGATGGAGTCAGGAGGTAGCCATAGAAACTCCTAAATGAAACGGCGGAATCGCATCGAATTTGGATTCATTGGATTTGTCTTTTCGAGCACTTTAGTACTAGATGATGTCCAGGGTCCTGATGGTGGAGTCAGGAGGTGGCCATAGGATTTCCGGAACGAAAAAGAGGAGTAAATTCCATGCGCGATACAACCTTCCGAAATTATTTGAACCTTGCATACAATTATTTTTTTCGTTTTATTATCACGTGTTAAAGGATTAACGATTAACGTTAACTTGCGTTAAATCTTCCGAAATGTAACGTTTTAACGTTTAACGAAGTATTTTTTTTTAGTAACGGGGTAACAATTAACCAAGTTAACTATTTGATTAACGGTGCCCAGCTATGGACACTTCCATTTCTCATTCTTTATAGGTCCTTCTACACGTCCCAAACATAGCTTGTCCTACTACCACTTCTTGACAACATACCGGCTGGTATCACTTTCACGTTTATTTTAAAACTTCGTTTTATTATTATACCCACTAATATTTAAGGAAAATAATTCAGTTTTTACTATACTCATAATTACATAGCGAGAAACTTGCGGTCGGTCTTATTAACAATTACATCTAAATTCTAATATTAAAAAAAACACAATCTTGAGTGATTACTTTGGAACCAAACATCTTTAGGCTTTAAAAGACTATCCCTCTATCTCATAAATGGTAAAATGTAAACTAACATTACACGAATAAATGTTTTTATTTTCTTATCATAAAAACTTGAATTTCTCTTCGACAGGTCAAAAATCATGCGGCCGCGTGGCCCTTCCTGAAACCCGTCGACAAAGCAGAAGTCCCGGATTATTACGACCACATCAAGTATCCTATGGGTAAGTAATACGTGTTATCTACCCAGTTTTACACACCCATAAAAATGCACTACAATGCAATCCAGACACACGCTCGCGAAAAGCGGTACAAAAGGACAGCACGATGCGGGAGATATTTGCAATCGCAATTCCAAGATAAACTGATTTCGAAGCAATGCAGACGCACATTGTGAAAGACAGATAATGTTTTCATGTCTACCTTCTTAAATATTAACAATTAAGTAGCGGATCTACGAACTACCAACGTGAACCTAGGGCGGCAAATTCGGGGTCAACAAATATTTATTAAATAAATAGGATGCTGTGATATCTGTTGTACCACTGTTTATTACGTGTGCAATATAGATTTTAAATAAATTTAAAGGCACTGGGTCTCTATCGGAAGGAACTCTAGGGGTGGAATCTCCATTGGCGTGGGTTAGCGGGCAAGGAGAGAATATGTTGGTTGGTTGACAATCACTTTCCCTACAATTTAACGTTCCACCAAACTCAATACGCTTTCAAAGATAACCTCGTAGCCGCTTGCTCACACTTGACATGACACAACTGATTGACAGTTACCTTTTTCTGCGCATTAGTCAGGTGTTACGTTTAGGAATCACAAACCTTCCGCTCTAAGATTTATACAGATAACATAATATTAAGATTGGTTCTATTAATCATCAATAATAATTTGCAGAATCTGTGTCCGGCGCCGACAAATTAATATCTACTGCCCTTGTATGAATTTGAGTGAATTTGTTTCGCCAGACTTGCGCACGATGGGCGAGCGGCTGAAGGCGCGCTACTACGCGTCCAAGCGACTTTTCATCGCCGACATGACGCGTATCTTCACCAACTGCCGCCTCTACAACTCGCCCGACACCGACTACTACAGGTAAGTTATTGTCTCGACTGTGCGACGGGCGCCCGCAGTGAGTGTGCGAGCGCAACAGCAACATAATAGGGATGATGACTGGGTAATGAAATCGAAATTCTATTTAGTCCGTCAGACAGATAATTAGAAAATATTAGACTCATATTTTTTATTTTTTTTCCATAATCGAATAATAACAGTATTATATTGAGTTGAAATGTCGCGTGACGTCACTTTTGAGTAAAAATTGTACTCAAGCGTGACGTATCGCGCCATTTCAACTCAATGTAGCACTGTTATTATTTAATTATGAAAGAAAATAAAAAATAAGAGTCTAATATTTTCTAATTATCTGTCTGACGGACAAATAATTGAAATTTTGTCATCTAGCCTATTTACGCGCAAGCGATAAGGATAGGTATAGATGACCCACGCTGAACTGTCCCACCAAACTCAATGACAGGGGGGCGCTACCATCGTTCAACTATATGGTTTCCAACATGGCAAAAATCGAAACCAGCGATCCCGTATTGACGGTGGCGCCCCACTGTCAATGTCATGCATAGGACAGTTCAGTATTTTAGAACTATAGCTTGGGATCATTGGACAAAATTCTACGTGCTCACAGACCGGGCTTTAATAAGCCTGAGGCATCTTATCGATTTTGCACGATAAGCCCATACATTTGTCGTCTATAATCGTCGATAAGATTTTATCATTGCGCGTATCCTAAGCCCGGCTGAAAACATTATTTTCTTCATGTAAGTCTTTCTTTTTCAACCATGTATCCTTTAGTTTTCACACCTCTTTTTACGGTCTTGAGCAGCTTCGGTCCAGTTTACTCCAACCTGCTGTTCTCTTAAAGTTAACTTTGTTTTTTTTTATTTGTGAGTGAGATATGAGGTTTATGGAAAAAGAGGAATTAACGGAAGGGAGGAAAGATGTTTTAACATATTTAAAACCAAAAAATAAGTCTTGATATCCTGTCCGAAGGTTTATATCTTATCTTGAAGGTTGTCTTAATATCTTGTCTTTGCTAAACAGGTGCGCAAACACCCTAGAGAAGTACTTCCAAGGCAAGATGAAGGAAGCTGGTCTGTGGGACAAATGATCCTACGACACGCGAGCCTCCACCCCTAGTGAGGCCAGCAGCTATACAACTTAGCGACACAACACTACGGCACAGCAAATAACATGAAACTAAATAGTTGGCTTACCGGCGAATGCTGCGGCTACTCAGAAACGCTGTTCACGTAGTTTCTGGTCTGTCGTCGTCGCTCATGTTTGCATCTTACTTGAAAAGAGAGGGACGGCAACATTCGAAACTTCGGATAACGTTTTTCGTAGTAGGGTTTACTCTGGACCGTTAAGTGTGTGCCTAACGTCTTTATGTGCCTGACAATAAGGAACGTTTGTGTGTTTTTCTTAACTCAGCCGTGACAGATTACATAAACGTATTTTTTTAGAACTGAAATCTGTAGCGTTACATTGTATTATTGTTTACTGACGGCCTTAGATTATTTAATAACAAAAGTTACTATGTAAGATAGGTGTTATTTGTTATTGGTTTTTGGGCCTTTACTTGCGCCAACTCGACCAGGTTTGATCTATTGTGGCAGCCCTTGTCTTTAGAGTTCACTGCTTAGTCCCGTTGAGTCTATAAATTTCCAGATTCTTTGGAGCGTGATATCTGCTATCTCATCCGGGTGCATGATGTGTCGCCCGAGATGGATACTTCTTTTGCTCATAAGCGGGAAGCATGAGCAAAGAACATGCATGGCCGTTTCTTCTTCTGTATGGCAGAATCTGCACAGAGTTTCCTCGGTCATGTTCATGTTCGATTTATGTGTATTTATGTATGTGTATTTATGTAAGATAGGTGTATCTCACTATATTTATTGTTTCCATACAAATCTTTTATATACTTCAGTATAACTTTATACACTTTATAACTTTATATTTCTTTTCCTATAGTCCGGGAAGTTGCGTAGACAACAAAAATACCTAGGTAGTGTTACTAAGATTACCATGCGTTATGCATATTAGTTAAATTTTATCAAGTATTTACAAACTTTTTTAGATTTAAGAATGTCTGTGTTGTATCGTTGTAATGAGAAATTGTGTACAAGACTGTATTTATGTTTGCTAGTTTTGCCCACTTAAACTTTGAAATTCTTTAATTATAGTAATCGCGTATAATATGGTATTGTATTATGTGAGAATATCAATTTGTTTATCTACACTGGTCATCATAAAAATCGACCCACCCACGACAAGCACTTTCAAACGTATGCATCCCCACTTCCCACCAATATTATTATACTATATTACCATTTAAAAGCCTAGTTCTAAACTTTATTTCATTAAAGGAAAGGTTTTTACCCCAAAAATGTGTCTGTAGAAGAATCCAGAGTCACTTCTTCAAAAAATAGGTAGTTACGCTTGAGCCAACTTTTATGGCAATAAAACTGTTAAGTTGGGAATGTTGGGATTAATCGCTATCCATCTGTTAAAGAGGACACGTGAGATCATTATTTGGTTTTATAACCATAAAAATTGGTCTAATTGATCCCAGAGGTGAGCCCAAAGTGAGGTCTTTTTTCAAGTTTTTCAAGTCAAATTTATTGTATATGTTAATCGTTTATTAGGAAATTAAATGTGTTTTTCTTTAAGGATATTTATTGGGCTTTAAAATAACACCAATATTGTTGGGGCACCATGATTGTGTCAGTAGAAACGAGTTTTCCTGTAAAACGTAGGTGGGCCGATTTTTGTGATGACCAGTGTATGTTGTTTTTCAAAGCAACTACTCAAAAATTACATGACGTTACTAAGTACCCCATTTGTAAAATTAAATAATTATACTTTTATAATAAATATTGTTTGTTAGTATGTAGATGAATAAATTAGGAAAAACATAATAAAGTAGTCGTCACAATCAATTTAGTAAGTTGTGGTAGATAAATAAGCTGTTTTGTGATAACTATGTATGAAAATGAATTCTCCTAGATATATTATTAATTGGTATGTTAAAAATGTGGTGTACGTTTTTGTAAATAATAATATTCTCAATGAATTTAACTATAGTCAATAAACTTTTTTTAAGTAATTACCTATGCAATATCTTTAAATTTTATCATCTACGAGACCAAGATCAAAGTTTTAAATAATAATATAATGCAATAGGTAGGTACATTGAAACACAAATATTTCAATACTGTTTTGGTTTTTATTTCAACACTTGATGTCCACACATGGGAGTCCGTAGAACATTTTCAAGGGGGGAATGTAAACATCTTTACACAATAACGGTTATTAAAAGTACATACCAGTCTCCTTGTTAATATAAAATCCAATGGATTTCTCGTAATAAGTATCTTACGTGTACTGTAAGTAATAACTTAAATGCTCACTTAAAACACTAAAATATAGTTTTACTTAAAAATAAAGTTTGAACGGCCATGGTCGCTTTTAAAAACAACTGCAGTAGTCATAGAATATGACAAACGCAAATAAATTGTATCTAAAAACGACATACCTCCACTTCAGACTAGAATTTATAACTACCGTTTTCTCTGAGTCACGAAATAAGTGTTAGCATACATGTAAATAATGATTGGACATAATGAATAATTACACTGTATAATATACATTGTTTTACTTAGTGGAAAAATGAAAGATTAACATCGTCGATAATTATGGAATAAACTAAACCACAGTCGCACTTTGAAAACACATTTTATCGACGTTGCCGCGTTGCAGTTGTGTAAACATTATAAATATTAGTCCGTTATTTATTTACGTGAACTATAAGCTAGCGACGAAGAAAGGTTGAAATAACTTCGGGAAAGAAGTATCACATTACAATCAATGATGATTTAAGTGTAAATCACAAAAATTTGGCTGCAATTTGGCCCCATTTTTACAAACAAGAATGTGATTATTATATTACGTTTATGAAGAGCACAACAATATCATAAAATACGTGGATACATTTAAAACATAATGGAACAGCTTTTTTATGAATTACATGAAAATACAGAAATTGAAACATTTGAGTACAGAATATCAGAATGAAAGATATTATTTACTATGGACGGATCTCTCGCACACTTCACTTGTTCATAAACAACATAATTAAAATGTATATTTAAAATCCACTCAGTACATTTAATTTCATTTGATAACATAGGCCAATAAGGAAAAATATAACTTAAAAAATCATCAAACTTTCGAATATTTTTTTTGTATAATAAAAATGGATCACTTATTTAAAAGAATATTTTATAAGTACATGATTTAGTAAATTTTAATATGCTAAAGCCTTTGATTTTGAACATTTAAAAGAAAAGTGGCGGAGACTGATTATTAGCCACCAATTATAAAGATAAAATATCCTGGGAAGTTCATCACAAATACAAATAGTTCCTAATTAAATTCATGGCCAATACACAACCGGGTTACCAAAAATAAATGTTACAAATAAAGGTTAAGTTTTAGGATACATTATGAGATCATGAACCAAATATTAACATTTTAAGTACAGTGGCTCGACTTAATTCAATATTTTTAATTCGGCAGTTTTGTTAAACGTCCAGACTGTACTCAACAGCGTTGCCTAAGTTTGAGACTTGGTTGTAAAAACAATATTATTACGAAAAATTTAAAACTTAACATTTTTAAACCCTCGTGATTTGTTTATGTAACCGATTTTAAACATTTAAATAACAGGAATTCGTAAGTACACAATAACTACAGAAACACGTACATACTCGCATTTTTATCAGTTTTAATTTTTTTTTCTACAAAATCGTTAAATTACAATGTTATGCCACTGTGTATTTGGTTTTATTATCCGTTATCGATGGTGTTACGTAGTCAAGTTACAACAAGTACAATCAACAGCACATCACACTACACATTAATGTTGCAAGTTAGCATCTATTACAATAATAATTGTTGTTAAGTTTGACGTGCTGTCGATACATTCTCGCCGCTTCCACTAGCAAGTCTGTGAGGTGCACCACAAAACGAACAGCTACATAGTCATAACCGTCACAGACGAGCCATCAGACCGGCGAGGTACGGGTATAGTCTGGTCTGTGAGCACGTAGAATTTTGTCCAATGACCCCAAGCTACCCATCCTTATCGCTCGCGCGTAATTATATTGCTGTCGCGACTGGGCGACGGGCGCCCGCAGTGAGTGTGCGAGCTTGGGGTCATTGGACAAAATTCTACGTGCTCACAGACCGGGCTTTAGATTACAACACTATTTCGTTGACTAGGCGGAGTAGCGGATGCCTACCTAATATAAAACTAGCTTAAACAAAATATCACTTGTCATCCACATTTCACTGGAAGTTCGAACCACTATTGTTGAGTATTTGTTTATTGAACACATCACACTGCACTGAGTCTCGCTCACGCGGCACGGCTTAGGGGCTTGGCGTGGCGCGGGCTTCCCTTGGCGAACCTTGCAGCGGCGCGTCGGACGCGTCGGGCGCCTGCGACGGCTCACCATGCGACCCCGAAGGAGACGATGCGCACGACCTGATGAAAATGAAAATGAAAAATAAAATATTTTATTCAGCGACACAAAACAGCATCAAAAATACATATTTAACAAAAGTAATTACGGACGGATTAGCAAGCTGAAGTGGCAATGGGCAGGGCACATAGTGCGCACAACTGACGGCCGATGGGGCAGCAAGGTTCTGGAATGGAGGCCGCGTACCGGAAGGCGCAGCGTGGGACGTCCACCTACAAGGTGGACCGACGACATCGTAAAGGTAGCAGGGAAGCGCTGGATGCAGGCCGCTACCAATCGAACAACGTGGAAAGCATTAGGGGAGGCCTATGTTCAGCAGTGGACGTCCTATGGCTGACATGATGATGATGATGAACAAAAGTAAAGAGAGTAGGTGATGTGCGTGTCACCGAAACGGTATCCACTCAGCATCATGTCGAGGTGTCGTTTGGGACACCACGACGCTGGTCTTCCGTGGATACTCGGAGGGCAAGAGGCACTGCTATAACACAGCAATACTACTCCGGTTGCAGTACAAGTAACACAGTTATCACTAAAGAACACACCGATTTCCTTACTGGTAGGCGAAGAATACAACACTGTTATAGTTCCAAAATACTGGACTGTCCTGTCGATGACATTGACAGTGGGGCGCCACCGTCTATACCGGATCGCTGGTTCAGATTTTTGCCATGTTGGAAACCATATAGTTGAACGATGGTAGCGCCCCCCTGTCACTGAGTTTGGTGGGACAGTTCAGCGTGGGTCATCTATACTTAATGATGACAAACATGTTGTTAATAAGAAAGAGTTACAATATACATCAGGGTTGGCCAACCGGTCGATCTCGACTATTAGTCCAGTCGTTCGTGGCAAGGAAAAAAATACTACATGATTGTGTACTAAACTATGCTGTTTCATTTAAGATTTCCAGAAGTATGTAAGTGGTAGATCCCCCAGGGTTTCGTTAGTAAACAGTAGATCGTATGTCTAATCTAGTTGGCCACCCCTGATATACATGGTATGTGGAGATGAAAGATTGTGAAAAAAGCTATCCGACTATTTTGCATTCGTGGTATAGGTTGAGTAGCCGCGGTATGGGTACGGCGGTGAAACTAAAAAGAAGCCCTAGTTCTGACGAAAGGCTCTCGGTAGGCTTGCTGAAGTCGGCTATTTGTGATGGTCTGGTAGTGGAGAGGGATGTATGCCACTTATTGTCTTAGAGGGGGATGCGCGGGGTGGTATATGCTAAAATCCATCTCATATGGGGGCTGCGGATATCAAGGGTCGAAGACCCCATATTCACACATTGGTGCTTGAGGCCTGGTCGTGCGCGCAGCGCGCCAGATGGCGTAGCGTGCCTTAAACGGGCCCTGTATTAAAATTTTTTGGGGGCCCCATTGTAGACCGTTTAATTAAAAAAGGTCTTTGCAAAATTCACTGTCTGAATGCATAGAGCTTTCCTGACAGTTGCCTATTCTGTCTAATGCGAAAAAGTCTGGCCCTGGCGCCTGTAGCCGGGGGGCCCCATATTATTGGTACTGCGGGCAATTACGCCCCTGGTGCGTGTAGCGTGTAGCATTGAGTAGGTTTTTGGTACTTTGGTAGTAGGTACTTGGCACCCGGTAGGCGAGTGGGTTTTTTTTTATTTTATTTTATTTATATGGCATACCAACAACATATATATTATACTCTTATGATTAGGGTTTAGTGCAGTCTTTCCCAAAGTGGGCGATAACGCCCCCTTGTGCGCGCTGCAGGCTTAAAGGGGGGCGGTAAGAGACCCAGAAAAAAATCGGGACGTTGTGTAGAGGCTTGGGAGGCGTCATTTACTAAGAGGACTTTTAGACACCGACTGAGCACTCGACTACAAATGGGGGCGCTAAAAAGAATTTATTCTCAAAGTGGGCAGTAGACAAAATACGTTTGGGAACCGCTGGTTTACGCCCAATTCCCATATTCAATCCTTGTCCAAATCCGGATTACAACTGTCAAATTGAATTCAGTTTTAGATTATATTTCCAAAATGTTCGATGCATTTACACTTTAATATTCTTTAATATTATGTCTTATAAACAATATAAAAATGTAAAAACATCAAAAACCGCAGTTATTTTGGCCAAAAACATATTAAAATTTGACAGTTGACAATCCAAATCCGTATAATTTGGATTAGGATTGAATATACAGGGTGTTAGGTAAATGGGTATATGAGCCGACACTAGCCCATGTTAACATGGTCATATAAATGGTATGGTGAAGTCAGAAAATTGATATCTTAATTTTAATTATTTTAATTTTCATACAAATCGGATTTTATAAAAAATATTTTGTATGAAAATTAAAAAAATTTAAATGATAATATCAAATTTCTGACTTCACCATACCATTTATATGCCCATGTTAACATGGGCTAGTGTCGGCTCATATACCCATTTACCTAACACCCTGTAGAAATCCAGCATTAGTGGGTAATTCGCCAAATAAGACGTGTCCTGCACCCTGTAACAAGCTGTACCTAGGGCTCTTGTTCGGGCACGGACCTGGCCAGCGTGGCCACGAGCTCGTCGGGCGACGACGCGCGGCTGCTGCGCTCGCTGGCCGCCTCCGAGTACGAGTTGTCGCTCGTCAGCTGAAACAACAACACATTCGTTAAAAACCTTATGATTTTAGTGCAATGTCGTATGGGGCCAGCAATGAGGGCTATCGTTTTAGCGCTCACCAGTTAGCGCCACTGTAGAGTAAGGTCCTGTCACTTGCTAGTAGCGAAGACAGTGGCGCCAACTGGTGAGCGCTAAAGAGGTAGGAGGACTATCGTATTTGTACTCATCAAGATGGCGCCACTGTAGAGTAAAGTCCTGTCAATCGCCAGGGGTGCCAACTGTTAAGTATAAAAATGATAGCCCTCATTAAAATCGTATGATTTTAACTAAAATAGTAAGACACGGGTCTTAACGCGACGGTCTGACTATTTTAGTTGAAATGGAACGCGAAAGTTTAAAATCGTATGATTTTAGTGCTCAAATATTTACCCATTACTTTTTGGATGGGGCCAGCAATCGACCTCACAAAACATTTTTAAGGCTGAGTTGCATCACCACCGGTAGTGTGTAGAGTTTGAGTGACATTTGACGTTTGTTATTCGTTCGTTCGTTTCAGCCAAAAGACGTCCACTGCTGGACAAAGGCCTCCCCCAAGGATTTCCACAAAGACCGGTCCTGCGCCGCTCGCATCCAGGCACCTCCCGCGACCTTCACCAGATCGTCGGTCCACCTAGTGGGAGGCCTGCCCACGCTACGTCTTCCGGCTCGTGGTCGCCACTCGTTTGTTATAATTAAAGTAATATGTGCAACCCAGGGTAGTCTCGTTAACCTTCTGTTAAGCTAAATGTAATAATTATGCTTGTGAGACTGGGTTCACCATAATAGTTCACCGGCGACGGGGTTCGAAACAGAGTTCGTCAAATCTGACACCAAAGCCCATTGGACTATTGTCGCACTATGGTTTGATGTAAAAATTAGAGCGGTTAATTGCACATGCAACTATAATTTATTGTTGCAAAATACCTCCTATCCTATAAGATGTTATGGCATAAAAGTACCAGGGTTAAGTAGTCGGCCATTTGGTGTAGTGGTTCGAAACGGACTACTATTCCGGAGGTAGCGGGTTCGATTCCCGCACAGTACAAACATTTGTGTGCATGAACATATTTGTTTGTATTGGACTGGGTGTTTTCTATGTATAATAAGTATGTATTTACAAAAAAAAAGTATTTATATCCGTTGTCTAGTACTCATAGTACAAGCTTTGCTTAGTTTGGGGCTAGCGGCGCAGTGTAAAATGTCCAAGGATATTTATTTATTTATATGCTGATATGACTGGGATTTCCAGTCAGCCAGTCCAACACCAAGCGGTTAATTGCATATCATAGCTCGTAGAGCTGATGGCCGCTGAGGCAGAAAAGTTCTCGAGTGGCGACCACGAGCCAGAGTGGGCAGGCCTCCCACTAGGTGGACCGACGATCTGGTGAAGGTCGCGGGAGGTGCCTGAATGCGAGCGGCGCAGGACCGATCTTTGGGGAAATCCTTGGGGGAGGCCTTTGTCCAGCAGTGGACGTCATTTGGCTGAAACGAATGACTGGGTTCACCACACTAGTCCACCGGCGATGGGGTTCAAAACGAGTTCGTTAGGTCTTAAAACCGCTTTAGTTTGATGTGCAATTAAAGCTACTAATTATTGCACATCAAACTATAATTTATTGTTGTGAAATAGCTCGTATGACTACTGTGTAAGATGGCTTGACATAAGAGTACCATCGGTAATGGGTGTCATTGTCCGTTAACATTATCACAGATTACATTGTTGCAAAAAAGCTTCTATCGCAAGTACATAAGGTGCACATTCGCGTACCAGCGTGAGCGGGTGGCGGGCGCGGGCGGGGCTGCGCGCGCGGCTTCGGGCTTCCTCCACCTCCAGCTGGAGGATGCTCTCTTGACTACCCGTGTACTGGAAATAAAAATAAATTTCATTTATTTCAGACCTCCGTAGTCCAGTTTTTTTTTTTAAAGATTATTAGTAATTTGTTATTACACAAATTACTAATACTCCCGTTAGCCCCTCGTACTAAGCTAAATATGCTTGTGTCACGAGTGAGCTCACCACAATAGTCGAGCGGCGGCGGGGACCGAACCCGCGTTCCCCGGATCACGAGTCGGCCAGTCCGACCCCTTCACCGTTCGGCTATCGTGGCTTATAATAAAATCACATCATCCTCTGTGGTCTAGTGGTAAGACCACCTGCTTCAGACGCAGACGCAGAGGTCCCGGGTTCGATTCCCAGTGGGGGAAGATTTTTCTGTTCGGTTTGGTTGGTGGTAGGGCTTGTTCTAAGTCCGCCTGGCTAAGCTACCACCATCTTACCTAAGTCTGTCGCCATAACAACAATGTTAACAGCATTGTTGTGTTCCGGCAGTTAGAGGTAAGATAGCCAGTTTTTCCGTGGTTGAGGATTCCGGGTGAAGCTCGCCGAAGGTGGAAGACCTTCGGCCTGATCGTCACTTACCATCAGGTGAGATACAGGCCAAGAGCTTCCTCGTTGTGGATAAAACAAAATCAAATCATTTAAATTTTTAAAGACTTGAAAAAATGGAATCGCTTCAGGTGGGAATTGAACCCACGACGTTTGTTTGCCGAGAGACTCTGACCGTTGATCAAGCAAACTCGTCGCAAGCGTATTACGCTGTTAAATGAACGCGCAAGCAAGACACGGAGTGGAGGCCGCGTACCGAAAAACGCAGCGTGGGACGTCGACCCACAAGGTGGACCGACGACATCATAAGGGTAGCAGGAAGGCGCTGGACGCAGGCCGCTACCAACCGGGTAACATGGAAAGCATTGGGGGAGGCCTATGTTCAGCAGTGGACGTCCTATGGCTGAGATGATGATGATGATGAGTTGGGGGGTAAAATAGCTAGTTTCACAATATTGTTTTCCCTAGAATTAGAATTCACAAGAGGTGAGAACGCAACAAAAATCACCCTGCCGTTTAAAATAAATTAAAAAAAAAGTCTTAAAGGTTGAACATGGGTGACTCACCACAAAACCATAGTACTTAAGGATGTCCATCTTGCACATAGGACAAGTGCGGTGCTCGAGCAGCCACGGATCTATGCAGTTCTTGTGGAAGTCGTGTCTGGAAATAACATAATTACACATTAATGAGGGCCATGTCGCTTGTAGGCTACCAAAGAATGAAACCCTTTTCAAAAACAGTTTATGTAAAGTATTATGTAAGAAACTTTGTACTTAGAAAAGGTAGGAGCAGCTTTAAATTATAACTTTACTTTTGTAGTTACACTTACCTACAAGGAAGAGATCTAAGCGTTTCTGAAACTTTATAAGGTTCTATGCATATGGCGCAGCATTCGCCATCGCCCTGTACTTCCTGAAAAACAAAACAATATTCCTTTTAATGTTATACTTTTTCGTATATTTTCATTTTCCCAATAATCTGGTCGCCGAGCACGTAGAATTTCGTCCAATGGCCCCAAGCTAACCCGAACGCGCTCGAACACTCACTGCGGCCGCCCGTCGCACAGGATAAGGATGGGTAGCTTGGGGTCATTGGACGAAATTCTGCGTGCTAGACTCTACAGTAAAAATTATAAATTTTAAAATACAAGAACTTACTCTATCTTCAGTCTTTAAACTCTTAACAGGTATTTTGGACAGCGCCTTTTTCGCCGCGCAACACAAACGTTTCTGTAAAAGAAAATATTTTAGTCATACAGAGCTCTGTGTCTGTCGACGGGTATGGGACTATTCCCACCACAGGAACAGCTGTGTGGGAAAGATAAGTACCCTTTGTGTATGTTTTTTATTAGGGTTCCGTACCTCAAAAGGAAAAAACGGAACCCTTATAGGATCACTTTGTTGTCCGTCCGTCCGTCTGTCAAGACCCTTTTTCTCAGGAACGCGTAGAGGTATGAAGCTGAAATTTATATCAATTACTCAGGTCTACTGTCCCTTGAAGCTGTGAAAAAATCAAACTTCTAAGCCAACGCAATCAAAAGATACAGCCGTTTATGCCGCAAATTTTCGACACTTGCAAGGGAATCAAAACCTACAGGATGCTTCCCGTGAACTCAGAATCTTGAAATTTGGTACGAAGCAACGTCTTATAGCATAGATAAAGGAAAAATTACGAAAACCATAAATTTTTAGTTACATCACATAATATATATTTTTTTAATAATTTTAAACTTACTACCCATTTCCTCATAAACGCGTAGAGGTATTAAATTGAAATTCATACCAAATACTCAGGTCTATAATACCTTTAAGCTGTAACAAAATCAAACTTCTATGTCAACGCAATCAAAAGAAACAGCAATTTAAGCTGCATATTTTGAAACTCGCAAGTACTCGCAAGGGAATCAAAACCTAAAGGGTACTTCCAGTCGACCTAGAATCTTGAAATTTGGCATGAAGCAACGTTTTATAGCACACATAAAGGAAAAATTCCGAAAACCTTAAATTTTTAGTTACATTACAAAATATATATTTTTTAATAAATATAAACTTATGAATTTCATTTTGCAATAAAAATACCATAGTTATGACTCGATTGTCGTAATGAACGAACTTTGTAAACCTTGCAGGTTTGTACGGAACCCTCGGTGCGCGAGTCCGACTCGCACTTGGCCGGTTTTTATGCATAACAAGGCAGGTATTTGACCGCAATCGCTCCTGGTGTTAAGTGAGATGCAGTCTAGAATAGTACATAATCTACCCTGTAAGTGCCTATTCACTCTCGCCTTAAAAAGACCTGGATGTGTTAGGAAAAGACAGCAGCAGGCAGCGAATTCCAGTCCCTAGCTTTTCACATTATAAAAGAGTTTTAAGAAACGTTTAGTGCGAGCTGATGGAATGTCGACAATATAGGGATGTCAAGTTTTAAAAATGTCTTTATATTATTATGGTTTCATATTTAAAAAAGCCTTAACATTTTAATGGTTAAAAGTTCTGCCAATTAATTACTTGACTTTTATTATTAAACCTAAACAACTGGTCATTTTTAAAACTTGACATTTTGCGAATTTGACAATTTATGAATTTGGCAGATTGCGACCGCATGACATTTGCGAATTTGACAATTTGCGCATAAAGGATGGTACGCTACCCTGCGTCTGGTTCCCGGGTGATGGAAGGGATGTGGTTGTTATGTACTCACAGAGAGCCTGTCCTTGGCGTGTATGTACCGGAAGCGCTGGATGTAGTAGAACACCAGCCACGCCAGCGATATCACCATCAGCACGATGAACGATATCGACACGAATAGCACTGACGTTCTGGAGATAAAGATTAGGAGCATTTAGTCAACTAGTACAGAGCTTCCTAAACTGTGAATCCCTTTTTAGAATATCCCATTTTTTGGGTGACCCCCATGATATTTTTTTATTAGAAAGAATAAGAACATGATTAAAATTAAAAAAGCTTTTCATTTGCTTTTATTTATTTATTTATTTTGAGAAGAATGTGCATTATTTACTGAGCATTTCTCAAAACTGGAAGTTTGGTGGAAGTGGCTCAAGTTTGGAAGTTGCCACTCATCTCTTTCTCCGCATTTCTTTACGATTGCTCTCACGACGTCCTTGGGATGTCATGATGCCCCGGGCGACGTAGTTTGGAAAGCCCTGAACTAGTTGATGAGTTAAAGAAACTAGAATTGACTGGAGGTATACAAATTACAGGGTTGGTGGTATATTGATGGCCATTCATTTATTTCTATAAAAATGGCTAGGTACCTAAGTTTAAATCACTAGGATTTGGAGAAGCTGTGATACACAGGGTGTCCCAAGGAGAAATGCACTCTTGAAAATTCAAGGAAAAACAACTGTATAATTTTGTAGAACTTTATTTATTAATTACAATTTAAAGAAAATTAAATGTAATTTGCGCTGGGGCAAAAGTGCTCGAGTGGCGACCACGAGTTGGAAGACCGGGCAGGCCTCACGCTAGGTGGACCGACGATCTGGTGAAGCCTGCGCAGGATTGGGCGTTGTGGAAATTGGGGGAGACCCTTGTCCAGCAGTGGACGTCATTAGGCTGAAACGAACGAACGAAACTATGTTTATTTTTAAATTTACTTAAAAATAAATTTCATTTCAATTTATTTTCTACTGTTATTTTCTCTCTGGGCCACCCTGAACAAATTACTTATTCTTTCCCACTCTACCCCGTGCAAGCTGAATCTGCACTATAACGGTCATTATCATATAATAATGATGATGATAATTGGAGATTTACATTGCACAACAGTAGCCAAGAAAGTCCAACCACGGCATGCAATACTAGAAGACCAGAGTATTTGAAAGAGACTTACTTGTTAATATTGTTGCTGACGTTGGCGAATGTCCGGCCTTTGAGGATGCCGATCATGACGCGCGTGCCGTTGTCGATGAGCCGCGTGATCTCCTCGCCCTTCCACTTGTACGTGAACACCGCGGATATGTTGCCTGCAACAAACAAAAAAACATCATGTCAGCATCACTACATAGTATAAAACAAAGTGGCCTTCCGCTGTCTGTCCCAATGTATGCTTAGATCTTCAAAACTACGCAATGGATTGTGATGCGGTTTTTTTAATAGATGGAGTGATTCAAGAGGAAAGTTTATATGTAGCACGCGTGCGAAGCCGGGGCGGGTCGCTGGTAGGTATATAAAGTACATAGCATAAGATCATTATGTAATTTAGTAGCCTATGAAGAAGCATGCCCTTCCTAATCATCCACTGCTAGACAAAGACTTCCCCCAAGGACTTTCACAACGATCGGTCCAGCGCTGCCCGCATCCAGGTGCTTCCCGCAACCTTCAGCAATATTCACGTCCCTCTCTACTTTACCAGAAGAATATAGTATACTATCTATAATTCTATATCTATACTTCTAAACTGTTAATTATGAAAAATCTAAAACGTTAAAATAACGGTATCGTTGTGGCCAATGAGATGCTGTCATAGTGACATTGACGATACGTCAATGTCACGCTAGCATCAAACGTCAGAATAGAGGGACGCGCGGAACGACTCCGCGCGCTTTTGTGCTAAGTGATGAATTGTATTTAAAATAAGGCAATATACTGTGAAAGTTAAGTATCCAGTGTTTTATTTATGAGAATAGATCTACCGGCCTTTAATAATACTAATATTATAAATGCGAAAGTAAGTCTGTCTGTCTGTCTGTCTTGCTTTCACGCCTAAACCACTGAACCGATTTTGATGAAATTTGTCATAGAGATAGTTTGAGTCCCGGGAAAGGACATAGGATAGTTTTTAACCCGGTTTTTGAAACAGGGACGCGCGCGATAAAGTTTTTCTGTGACAGACAAAATTCCACGCGGGCGGAAGGCTAGTTATGTTATATTCTGGCTTACACTCTCCTCTCTGGTCCTCTAGTAAAGGACTGATTAACGTATAAATTGTTTTTAGTTGCCTTTTAAAAGATGTAAATCTTTTACGGGAAAAATGGGATTGGTTCTATTCTACTCTGCAGCAACCACACGGCAAACAGCCATGGAAAGAATTAATTAATAAGAAGAAAGTAATTAATCTGTTATAGCTATATTTTTTACCTGACTGGTTTCCACTCATAACGATAACAAACAAGTTGTTTTGTGACCAAATTAATTAAAATAAATCAAAAACTAACTCAGGTAGGTAACTAAACTCTGTAACTGAATTATTAAGTGAAAATTAAGACTCATAAATAAATAGATACATGTGTACTGCGCTAAAACAGCGAGTTAAATGAAACGTAAGGACACAAAACAAATGATAATAAGTTCAAGTGTAGTGTAGCGCGGTGATTCAACCAACGTTCATTATTCAGCTGAATAAACATACATTTTTGTTGTTCAATCGGCATGAGTTGCAACAAAACACCTGTAATTCGAGCATACGTGACATCACCACTAGAGACGGAATCTCCCTTATCAGTTATCACAGACGTTATCAGTATATGAAGAGATCATTTGATAACACGTTACTAATCGTTGCCTAATAGTTCAGTTAGTTTGAGAAATGTATTCCGGGTGGCATTGATATCATTTCCAAGCAAATATGTGAATACAAGGAAAGCATTTCACAATTCTTTATCTTATGAGATAAGTATGGTATTTTAGGAAGTATTGCGTGAACAATAAACATCAGATGTAATTCTTCATTTCAGGGAAAAAATGAAGAAAGTTACTTGTAAGTACTATCTATTTCATCTGTAATTAAGTAGTATTCTATGTATGAACTGTTAAATAAATAAACATGTGAATTTATTAGAATATGACGTCAAAGCAAATAATGATAATGACTTTTTACAGTCATATCATTATAATATGTAAATGAAGACTCGACAAAAGCAATTGTAAACTGTTCCACTGTGGGATGTAGTATTTGATACTCAACTATAATCTAAATTACAAAGGTTTTGACGTAACTATGTAAATGCAGTTGTTGTGTGGTTGCGAATGGCAAATAAAGGTAACATCTGTAGTAATGTTTGTTTAAAACGCAGAATGACCATTGGATAAGAGCCCCCATAAAATAGGATGAATATTTATCACTGACACTACAACCGCTGAATTGTATTTCTATAGACAACTAGCTTTTGCCCGCGGTTTCACCCGCGTGAAATTTAGTATGTCACAGATCGTCATAAATTATAGCCTATATGTTAATCTGGGTTATAAACAGTAATACTGTAAAGTTTCAACAAAATCCGTTCAGTAGTTTTTGCGTGAAAGAGTAACAAACATCCAGACATCATGACATCCAAACTTTGGCATTTATAATATTAGTAGGATGGGTAGCTATGGGTCTGCATCCTCATCTAACACTATAATGTGACGATCTGGCCGAAGGTGGAAGCGTACTTCACATGGTATTAATAACCATTTGGCAATCTGAAATTACCAAAGAAAAATATTCAGCGAGTAGACGCAACACACTGTTCAATACATGGCAATGATTAAGTACCTACGAAAGCGGATTACCATTAATCAAAGACTAGAGGCAAAGTAGAGGCGTCAGTAGGCCATCTTAAAGTACCTATTTCATATTTAAGCGGATTATACTACAAAGAAGGCGAATGCGTCACGCAAGGGCAGTGGGTGCAGTAAGTAGTAACGCGATTGTACCGTCGGGTTTCATTGTCAAGGCCTCACTTAGTGGTCGTCGAATGCTATGCAGATGCGATTATAGGCACTGAAATAGACGCACTTGTCTTTAAAGTGCAAATGTATTAGTCATTGCGTTATCAAGGCTTCATTAGTAAAGCCTCATAACGTAGAGGTTTAATGTGGACGTCAGTAAAGTGCGCATAAAGGTGATAATCGTCCAAATAAAAATAACTCACAATGAATTAGATACGTATTATTAATTATAGTGATGAAGTTTATCAAACAATAGCCTTAATCTATACCTAATCAAAAATGAACCAATTTATATCATTCTATTCATAATTTTCCCTAAAGTTTAATAATTTGTTTAATTTTAATCGTATTTATTAAGGAAATAAGGTAGGTCGGCCGTTTGGTGTAGTGGTTCAAAACGGACTACTATTCCGGAGGTAGCGGGTTCGATTCCCGCACAGTACAAATATTTGTGTGCATGAACATATTTGTTTGTATTGGACTGGGTGTTTTCTATGTATAATAAGTATGTATTTACAAAAAAAAAAAAGTATTTAAGTATGTTTATATCCGTTGTCTAGTTACCCATAGTACAAGCTTTGCTTAGTTTGGGACTAGAAGCGCAGTGTAAAATGTCCAAGGATATTTATTTATTTATTTATTTATAAACAGCAACATTTTTAAAACATATAAACCAAAACAAAATAATTAACACATTTGCCTTAAATAATTTCCACAGGTTATGTTGATTTAGACAAATAATACAGACGATAGCACAACAAGGTAATCACTTAGGGGGAATGGGCACTTTTGTGCACTTACTTTACTTTAAACCCAACTTCACACACACTCAATAGTCAAGACACTTTAAAGCTTATCAATAAAAATATTTACCACATACTAACAAATAGGTACTTACTACTTGTTATCAGTAAGTGGCTCATAATGAACCTTACTTAATCACTTCTTCTAATTAATTTAACCGTTAAAGATGTTAAGCCGGTTATTAACAATGCAGTTGCGTTAACTATTACTAAACAGCGACCCACGACTGCTTCCCACGAATCTGTGATACTTAATTATTATGTATCAATAGAACTTATTTGAACATGAGCATTGCATTCAGAGAAATATAATGGAAGAAATACTAGAAATTCGCTTTAGCCACTAACATTGGTTTTTATTAAACTTTAGGCAAATATTTAACCACAATCTCACCTAATATTTCATGTGCAATTTTTAAGAATACCTATATTTAAGTTATTTCACATTTTATGTAACACGTCCCTTGTAAAAGCGTTAGTTGCCGGCCTCGAATTGGTCACGAAGTTGTTTTTAACCCAGATTTTAAAACTTTTTATGTTATTTATAAAGTAACTGGTAAGGTTAAGTATGTACTAGCCTAAGGTTGGGGCATTTCCGATACCATATCGTAAGAAAACATTATAAAAGTGATTGTTATTATTACTAAGTACGGACCATAATTATTTATGATTTGGGGTTGTTTTTATTGAGATCCACATTAAGTATGCTCGTATTGGTATTTTTATGGTCAATCGATAGGCCTGACCCGGTACAGTAAAGTAGAATACTGGAATTTTTCTAAGGAGAGATTTCAGACAAAAATATTGAACCAATAGTTCTTCTAAAACAATTAACAAGTGAGAACTATAACATCGACTGCACATAGTTTTCAAAATGTATAATTAAATCACCGATCAAGTAAAGGGTAGTTGTATTCCTCGGTTATACTATGACCTTCTCTGGGCCATAATAAAGAGCTTTTAGTGTACGTAAAATATGATTCCCTAAAAAAAACTATTCCAAAATTTTCATCATTTCAGCCACAGGACGTCCACTGCTGAACATAGGCACATAGGCCTCCCCCAATGACTTCTACATCGCACGGTAGGTGGCGGCCAGCATCCAGCGCCTTCCTACCTTTATCAGGTCATCGGTCCACCTCGATCCAAAATTTTAATTTTATTTTAAATCACCGTTCAAGTAAAGGGTTCGCCCTTAACAGCGCATGCCTCGGTCCTGTTCCGGCCTTCGCCGCGCCATGTAAATCTGCGCGCACGCCCCTTATGCGTGCGTGTCGCGTATTTATAAAATAACCACAAAGTCGACAAACACGGCTGTAAATCACTAATGTTTATGTAGGCACTTACTTAGTTAGCGATAGTAGTTATATGCCGATTTTAATAAGGAACTACAAACAACTGTTAACTACAAATTAATACCAAATTCTAAAAAGTTACTTCCAGCTTTATGCCGATTTCTGCTTCTGAAGAACTACAATGATACAATTTAACGAACCTTTTAAAAATTTTACCCAAAATACTGATCATATCACCATCCTTAATTTAATAAATGAATTTTGGCTTCGACCTCGCATGCGAAATACAAAATTCTTGCACGCACAGCAAAATTTAGCTTAAACTTTACAACCGCATATTTCAATCTGGAAAAAAGTATAAATCTACTACATAGTAGCCTACTACACTCAGAAAGCATTAAATATCCCACAACTGGGTAAAAAGATCCCTCGACTCTTTTTAGATCTATTATTATTTCAGTCAAGTTTATAGGATCATTGTCTACATCTTATCAATAAAAAAAAGTAAAGTTAACGTCATAAATTGCATCATCAGTAATCGTCCAGATATACCTCCAAACAACAAGTAAACAAAACTATCTTTTGATCCATATCTAATCAATTCAATTTATTATCGACCAATCAGAAATTCCTTCGTTTTGTTTATTTTTGTTGAAACACGCATCAACTTAGAAACTTTATATCGCAATTTCTGACTCAATTTATTTAAAAAGTCTGCATTATTATGAAGCAATAAAATATAAAATTCTTTAAAACTTTGTTTGTCATTAAATACTGACTGGAAAATAGCAAGATGATAAGACAATAAAGAGTCATGCAGACTGATAAAGAAAACCAAGAAAAGCACTGATTATGCCTAATCTATTTAGTTACCTACTTGTTGCTCAAATCTGCCACAAGACAGTGATAATTACGTATAGAAAATGTATATTTATCTATATTAATCTATACTAATATACTAATAAAAATGCGAAAGTAACTCTGTCTGTTTGTCTGTCTCTCTTTCACGCCAAACCACTGAACCGATTTTGATGGGCATCGAGATAGTTTGAGTCCCGGGAAAGGTCATAGGATAGTTTCGTGATAATATTTTTCTGTGAAAGGCAAAATTCCACGCGGCCGAAACCGCGGGCGGAAAGCTAGTTGTTTATATTTCACTATAAAATACCCATACACATGCACCGAGGAGGACATCAAACTAAACTCTGTTCTATCGTACGTATGTAGTAGCTGTAGTTACTGTTTTTCAACAAAAATGTTTTATTATGCTATTAACAACACAATATAACAATAAATATACATTCTCACAATACTTTATCCTCAAAACATAGAATAATATACTAATGTAGGTACAATAAATAGTTATCAATGTATAAAACAACAACACTGAAGTGAAAGAATCCAAGAACAGGTTATAAATCAGGGTGGATAAAAATCACGATTTTTTTATTTTAATCAAAAAAATCTGTTTTTTTTTTTTTAAAAATCACGATTTTTTGGTCTAGCAGTGGACGTCATTTGACTAAAAGTAACGAACCTGTTGAGTGCACTTCGAAGAATAGAATAGGTGCGCTTTGAGGAATGCTTCTAGCGAATACCCTATCAAATAGTAACGTGAGTTTCGTAGTAAGTGCAACAACAGATAGATAGATACGAATTTACGACTATGACTCCGACGACCTTAAGAAGATAGCTGGCAGGCAGCGGCTGGAGAAAAATGCACGTTGATCGTTCGTGTTTTATATTCCTTGGGGAAGGACTACGTCCATCCAGTGGATTGCTGTTAGCTGACAATGATGGTGATATCGATCGCACATCCTGTAGTTCCTTGGTGAGACTTACGTCCACTAGTAGATTGCTATTGGGTGAAATGTTGATGATGAAAAGTAACTTACGTCCATTATCGGTCGACAGCTTCATCTTCTCCAGGAGTGTGGTGTCCCTGTCGTTGTAGACCAGCACCGCCGTCGCGTTCGCTTTCCACGCATTTTGCACCTGAAACATAAGAAAATGGAATTTAATTTAAAACCGCACTCAATGGTCCACTCCACGAGTGCACAAGAAAGGCTGCAGTGCGGGAGGAATGGCGACTGATTTTGAGACTTGCCACCGGACCTGGTGTGACGACCACGATCACTCTGGCAAGAGTGTAGCGACGAAGAAGGTAGGATTCTACTCATATTGTATTTATGTTAACTAATGGGAGATTGGGACTAGAGGCACGTATTCGACATTGACACGAAATTCAAGACGAAATCTGAGTTGACCCACACAATCATCATCATCATCATTTCAGCCATAGGACATCCACTGCTGAACATAGGCCTCCCCCAATGCTTTCCATGTTGATCGATTGGTAGCGGCCTGCGTCCAGCGCTTCCCTGCTACCTTTACGATGTCATCGGGCCCCCTTGGTATCATTGGTACACGATAAAGTGATTGAATAAAAGAAGAACAGTTACATCAAATTCGGCAAGTTAAAAATAATAATCGAGTTTGGATGTTTCGACGGAATTTTCTCATGAAAGTTTTCCGTCGTGTCTGCTGAAATGAAAAAGATAATATACAAATATTTACCTATCTTTTATTATTTTTCTTTCATACGAAAAGAGTTCTTTTGTATTTGCTTCGGAATATTTTTCTAAGCCATCACCAAACGCCCGAAGAATTCTATTCAGAATCTTTGGAAGTTTATCTTTTATAGAAGGGTGAGCTTGTCATCGACAAATACACAATACGTTTACGGAATAATACCTACCTAATTTAATAGACCCCGACGATGATATGTGACTGTGACATATCTATCTTGAAGATAATCTGTAAATACCTAAAAGTCACCGAGAAGTAAAAAACTGTTGCGATTTGCGAACAAAATCACAGAAAAAAGCTAGTCTTAAATAACGTTAGAACATAATTACGGCTCCAGTTATTAAAAAGAGGATAAATCGTTATTAGGGACAACCGATTATACCCAAAATGATTGTGTGATACGAGGGGTTTAGCCATATCGCTTTATGTTACTTTATTACGCGTTATCTGACATACAGCAATGGTTGATATCGGGACATCGATTAGGTACATACAACAAAAACGGCAAAGATATACAACATTATATGAAATTCTTATTGCATGTGTTGCCATTTTATGGTCCTTTGTTCCGTCAGGAATGGTTTATCAGTCGTATGTCACGGAACTCAAGGTGTAGACGACAAAAGTAGGTGTATAATCGTGAATGATTTAGGTTTTTACCCAAAAATATAATAAAGCTAAACAAATTAAGTTTGTGGACGACCTTTAAAAACATAATTATTGACTTGATCAATAAAAATAAAACCACAGGAAATAAACTGGTGCAATAACAATAACTTTATAAGTGACACGACTTCTACAAATACACATAATAATAAGTATGTATGTCGTTATCTTAATCTACCCATTCACACTTGAATAATCTGGGAGGAAATCCTATGTTTTTGGTGGAATAAAAGTACATGGACATTGGACACAAAATCGCACTCTGGGCAGATGCCAATAACTTGAAAATATTGTATAAAACTTCAAATACTTATGTAAGCTCAGTGAATCCCTTCTCCATTGTGGAGGCTGGCACGATGCCAGTTCTACCATACTTTATTACGCCACACTTTATCTCAAACCACTAATTTTAATACTAGAAAGTTCTGCAAATGGAAATCGTTACGTTGACGAGAAATACGACCAAATGACTATATAGGTTAGTTATTAAGTAATAAGTAATGCCAGTACGCACCCTTTAGTACAACTGGCATTTGGCCAGCTTGAATCATTGCGTCACACTTTATTAGAATACATACAATGTATACCTTGGTAAAGCACCTTGCAGTCATATGATTTTCTTTTTGTGCTTAGAAAGAGTAAAGATCCTTCCACTTTCAGAAAATCTCCGTTGCTATTTTCGCAACATATCATAAAATAAACTGAAGTTTTAGCTGTGCGTTAATAGTCAAGTCATGATGAGTCAGGACAAATACAGGGTGTTAGGTAAATGGGTATATGAGCCGACACTAGCCCATGTTAACATGGTCATATAAATGGTATGGTGAAGTCAGAAAATTGATATCTTCATTTTAATTATTTGATTTTTCATACAAATCGGATTTTATAAAATTAATTTTGTATGTAAATGAAAAAAAATAAAATGATGATATCAAATTTCTGACTTCACCATACCATTTATATGACCATGTTAACATGGGCTAGTGTCGGCTCATATACCCATTTACCTAACACCCTGTATAAGTACAAATACTGGATAAGTATAAATATGATACATGTACCTACGTACGCATAATATACTAGATGGAATTAAGATTGACACATACTTCAAGACTAAGAAACCAGAAATAAACCCTTACTACACACGTAACACTCACGCGGCAGATAACTTGCTTGAGGAGTCAATACTCCGTTATCGGCTGCAGCGGCCTCGTCCTCGGGCTTGGCCACTTCTGGAGCCAGTCGTTGACTAAAGGTCGTTTGATAACTACACTTGGATAATTAATTTATTTTCAATTATACGAGTATTGTACAGTCGACAGCAGCTGGCACTTAATAGTGCGTCCACACTGGGCGAACTGGCTCGCGCGGCAAACTCGACATCCTGCTCACCCTGCTCTTGAGTGAGCAGGATGTCGAGTTTGCCGCGCGAGCCCCTTCGCCTAGTGTGGACGCACCACAAAGGTGCGTACTTTTGTTTGCAAACGCTCACCTATTACCACAGCTGTGTTCAGCTTTAATGTGCTGTCGTCTGTAACAGCTTTTAAGTATGTGTAGTTCTAATAAAATGAAAACTTAGATAGTCTTATGTGCTGTTGACAGTACCTTCGTAAGTAACTCACTCAAGTATAACTCTGTCTGTACGCTTAACAGTGGTTTAACCTTGATAAATTTTGGTTTGAGATGGCTTAGACCTAGAAGAATTTATTTAGGCTATCCTTTGATGTCAAAATGTTTGTATGGTGGATCGTGCACCATTATTTATCATATCATGTTAAGTAAATAAATGTTTTATATGCTTTTTAATCTATAATAGATGCGAAATAAATAATTCCGTGACAGGTCAAAAGCTAAAAATACTAGTACTGATGTTTCTAGAATAGGTAAACGTAGGTTAACGTTCTAGTTAAATCTGGTTTTTAATTATTCAATAGTAATGGCAGAACATTCCAAACAGTCGAAATATTAATTTATTTATAAGATTTATTTTTGTCTGTCGTCATCATTTTCGAGAATTGACAAAGCGTGACCTAGAAAACTTTTTAAATCTATACAATACTTGTTTACTAACAGTCGTTGCTAAACTTGTTCCTAACCTACTGGTTAGGATTTTGATAATCATAATAATACGAACTACATATTATACAGGGTGACAGGTAAAGCGATACATTCCTTGAAAGGGGTTAAAGTAGAGCTTATTTGCAGTCATTTAAGTCATATGACACCATGTCCGAAACTTGTTCATTTCCAAGTTATTCAAGATTTAAGTATTTTTAAAAAAATCTCTAGTTTTTACGTTAAAATGTACCCTTGTAATGAAGAATACGAAATAATGTTAACTTTTTTGTTGTATTCGTACAGCTAAATAACAAGATTGACATTTTAAATTAAAATTTGCAAGAAAGAATCGTCATTACTCAAGTAAAAGCTAAAAAACCATGTATTATTTTGCAAAAAAAAAAATGTTTTAGGTAATTAAACGAAGAATTTCCAAGAAAAAATGTATGGAATGTTGTGTACAAATTACAGAATTTAGTTCCTTGATTCATTAGCTATTCAAAAAGGTACAGGTGTTTAACAAACACTACATAATTATTTTTATATTTGAATTTAAACGTCTAGTGAGATACTTTCATAAAAAATAAAATAAATAAAAAAGTCACACTAATAACTGTTCTTGGGTCTAAATAAATGAAAAACTTAGTATTTTAATAATAATTGTATCACCTAATTTTATCTAGGTACATTATTTTAATCGTTTCAGCCAAATGACGTCCACTGCTGGACAAAGGCCTCCTCCAAGGCTTTCCACAATGCACGGTCCTGCGCTGCCCGCATCCAGGCTCTTCCCGCGACCTTTACGAGATCGTCGGTCCACCTAGTAGGAGGCCTGCCCACGCTACGTCTTCCAGCCCGTGGTCGCCACTCGAGAACTTTTCTGCCCCAACGGCCATCGTCTCTACGAGCTATGTGCCCCGCCCACTGCCACTTGGTTTTAGCAATTCTGCGAGCTATGTCGGTCACTTTGGTTCTCCTGCGGATCTCCTCATTTCTGATTCGATCACGCAGGGAAACTCCAAGCATGGCCCGCTCCATCGCCCTTTGGGTGACCTTGAGCCTTCTTATGAGGCCCATAGTAAGCGTCCACGTTTCGGATCCATAAATCAACACTGGCAGCACACACTGCTCGAAGACTTTTGTCTTGAGACACTGCGGTATTTCGGACGTGAGTATATTGCGTAGCTTCCCGAACGCTGCCCAGCCGAGTTGGATTCGACGATTGACCTCTTTCTCGAAGTTGGCCCTACCTAACTGGACTGTTTGTCCCAGGTATACATAATTGTCAACAGCTTCGAGTGTAGAGTCTCCAACCTTCAAAGGAGTGGGTGCGACACGGTTATTAGACATGATTTTTGTCTTGTCCATGTTCATTTTGAGACCCACTTGTTGAGAGGCTCTACTGAGGCCATCGAGCATTGTGCCTAGATCTTCCAAGGTTTAAAATAATGTACCTAAATACCATTAGGTGATACAATTATTATTAAAATTCTAAGTTTTTCATTTATTGAGACCCAATAATAGTTGTTAGAGTGATTTTTTTATTTATTAATTTTTTTATGAAAGTATCTTACTAGACGTTTAAATTCAAATAAAAAAAATATTATGTAGTGTTTGTTAAACACCTGTACCTTTTTGAATAGCTAATGAATCAAGGAACTAAATTCTGTTATTTGTACACAACATTCCATACATTTTTTCTTGGAAATTCTTCGTTTAATTACCTAAAACATTTTTTTTTTGCAAAATAATACATGGTTTTTTAGCTTTTACTTGAGTAATGACGATTCTTTGTTGCAAATTTTAATTTAAAATGTCAATCTTGTTATTTAGCTATACGAATACAACAAAAAAGTTAACATTATTTCGTATTCTTCATTACAAGGGTACATTTTAACATAAAAACTAGAGATTTTTTTAAAAATACTTAAATCTTGAATAACTTGGAAATGAACAAGTTTCGGACATGGTGTCATATGACTTAAATGACTGCAAATAAGCTCTACTTTAACCCCTTTCAAGGAATGTATCGCTTTACCTGTCACCCTGTATAAAAAAATATGACTATGACATAATTCAATAAATAGGCCTCTGGTAAAAATAGTCCTCCTGTAAAGTAGAGACAAAATATTCGGAAAGATCACAGTCGAAAAATACGTGTTGTTTTAAAAATTTGCGTACATGCTAATTAAATGTAAATTTTAATGTAAAACTGTTTTAAATGTTCATGGTCCATACAACCAGTACAGTCAGGGTCGTCTTCTTTCATCTGCCTACAGTATCAACTCGAAATACCTTCCTGAGTTCAATCAACTTTAAACCTCGACAGGATTGTAATTTGTAAGTACGAATTGACAATATTGATGGCCTACTTATAATAATATGTACTTATTATAATATTTCCAATCTAATCCAATCGCTTATACAGAAATGATTCTTCTTGCAATATTAAATTTCGACATTGTTTTCTATGATTGAAACAGCACAAGACCAAAGCAAATGGCGACAAGACACACTTTGGCTTTGGGGCTAATTATTATAATAAAAAATCCTAATTAACGGTCTACAGACATTATCGATTCGCTTTCAAATAATGATAAGCGGGATGCTTTTTAACCGACTTAAAAAAAGGGGGTACCTACTTCTTAAAGGTCAAGATCTAATAGCAGAACAAAAGCAATACGAAAAATTCCCTACTAATAAACGATCTGATACCACGATTCGTGATAACCTCCGAGTTCACGGGAATCGATTGTCTAGATCGAACCACGAAGGCAGAGACGAAGGTCGGCTGCCCTAGTCCGGCGATGTTATCAGCCGAAGGTAGAACGAATTACTTCTATTAGAGGTACATTGACCCTAGAGTAGGTTTCCGTTGAAGGGCTAACGATCAGATCAAAGGCAGTATGTGACAAAACTAAGGAGGTTCCTTGACTTTGTCAACCTGTTGAGTTTTTACGCCTAAAACTCTAAACCAATTTTGGTGTTCAGATAAACTTAGAAGAAAGGACACCTTTTGTGAGCCAAAAGACGAATGGGAAAGCCATGATTTCTCAAATGATGGAAACAGTAACAGCGTGTTTCTAATTGCAGAGCACGCAATAAAATCTCTTTGCGACTGGTTAAACTAATTATGGTTAAATATTCGTAGACTACCCGGCAGGCGAAAGAAAGAATCGTTTATACTACAAACAAAACATATACTCCAACGTCATTCATATGAACAACATCACACATAAATTAAAATACGCTTATTCTTACAGTTATCATTTTATGACTGGTATTTTTACATTACTGGCAACAACCCGGAAACTCTACAATGCCTTATCACGTTCAGGGTCACTACGAGTGGATGCTCTTTGTGAATGTTATCTTAAGGGCAAGGAAGAGCCTCATTGAATACTTTCGCACTACATTGACTGTTGGGGAAACGATAGCAGCCAACGACCGCCAGAGGCCGCGTGCTATCAGCCCATCAGAACCCTCAGGGTTATTGGGTGGATGTTCCCATTACGGTGAATTGCAATCTTACTTTAAAGATATCAATGGAGTCAGGGGTTCACGTGAACGCCCTCTAAGGACTCTTGAAATAATCAATGGTTCAATTTTAACGTCAGTTTTATATCGAGTTGTTAAACACTTGATTGACAGCTCGTGTTAGCAATGACGAGTATATTATTCACAAGCATGATGGGTAAGGTCGAACAAATCGTGTTTACATAAGTCGCGTGGCTTTTGTAGCGTTTATGATACTTAATGAATTACCTACCAGTTACCACTAACTTGGTTTCACAGATACAGCGCTAGGAAAGGAGGACTCATTAGACAAAGCTTTGATAACAGCGACTAAATTCAACTGAGTAAGTTCTAATTACCTGATTATTTTCCTCAGTATATGGCCTATCCATCCATACTCGACGATCAAAGGGTATTTCAAGTTATTTGGGGCTCAACAAACCCACTTAAAACCCGGGAAATAACGGAGCCCTTTGGCTAAACAAATGACATCATCATCATCATCAACAGCCCTTTACAGTCCACTGCTGGACTATGAGTCTCCTCCACTATAGTGGAGGGTTTTGCCATAATCCCCACGCTTGACAGGCGGGTTGGAGATCCCAGTTTAGAAGATTGATGTTTTTCAGAGAGCGCTGCTGCCCGTTCTCTGTTTGATGTGTAGTCCCTAAGTCGCCTCTTACTAGAAGAGTAGGGGTTGGTGACAAATGTATTCTACTGCCGTCACCGCACGAAATGACATCCACAGACCTTAATTTCAAAGTTGCAGCTCCCGCGCTTGATGACAGCGATCCACGGCTCGGTGGGCAGCGGGTCATTGGGGGCAGCCACCGACAGCAGCGGCCAGGAGCACCCCGTGTGGTCCTTCTCGCCGTCCGGGCCTTTCGCGCGGACGTGCACCGCGACTCCCCGGGACGACAACGCGATGAAGCCCTCTCCATACTTCCCCGACTGTGGACAAAGGAAAGTGGCATTTTGAGCATACTTACAGATTATTATGGACAAGGCCCCTATCGTTAGCAGCCAATCTAAAGGCTTGAAGAAGCCAATCAAACAAAATGTGGCACAACACAACACACCTCGTTTAAAAATTGAGAACAAAAACTAGTCAGTGAGTAAAATGGATTAACATTAATGAAATGCATAATATTTTCATAAGACAATTGAATTTAAATCTTATTATCACAAATTTTATCTCTGATTTCATTCACATAATTACATACGAGACACGAGTACAGAGTACAGCACTTGATATTAAACGGGCGCGCTTTAAATTTCCCTTGAGAGTAGCCGAAATGTAGCATGATAATATTCTGGCAAGTCTGGATAATGGTTTCCAGCTTGGCAAACGTGTAAAATTTGTATCTTTTAACAATTATTATAATAATTATGAAACTTTACACTTAATTAAAACAATAAAAAAACCGCAAAATACTATGTTTTCACGTTCCCAGACGGAAGAATGACTGTCAGGAGATTGACACGAAACCATTTAATTATCATCAATATGCATATTGACCGCTATGAGTCAGTACATTGTGGATATCATGAATATTTCATTTCTATTTGTATGAACCCGAGTAGGTATGCATTGTAAATGGGCGATAAACCACAAAACAGAAACATACCAACGCACTATAATATTGTTTACACTTCTTGTGAGAAGCACGCGTATCAATACTTTCTACCTGACCTATGGCAACATGGGAATTTGTGTGTCCGTCCGTGTTAAAATTGAAATCAAAAGGTCCTAGTCCTACTATAATAAGTAAATAATTATTGATTCATCATCATCGTATGTACATACTACTATAACAGAATCAATAGGTAGGCAGTTTCATTTTCCTTGTTTACGCGTATCAATCTATTTTAAACTAATGATTGTTTTTGTTTATAAGTAGATAAATTGTCATTGTGGTGGCGAATTACAAAATAATTTACGCAAACGCCTTTAATTGAGTTCAATGAAACAGAAAGTTTCATAATCGTTTTAAAAGATGACGACGATTCAATTGTTCTATTGCGTCAATGTCGCAAAAACATATTTAATTAAAATCAAATGTAAATGGTAACTTTATAATTTATCAATGTTTATGGGATAATATGACTGATTTTTATGGTAATAATAGATATTATTATTGTTGGTTTGGTTTTTGGGCCTTTATTTGCGCCAACTCGACCAGGTTTGATCTATTGTGGCAGCCCTTGTCTTTAAAGTTCACTGCTTAGTCCCGTTGAGTCTATAAATTTCCAGATTCTTTGGAGCGTGATATCTGCTATCTCATCCGGGTGCATGATGTGTCGCCCGAGATGGATACTTCTTTTGCTCATAAGCGGGAAGCATGAGCAAAGAACATGCATGGCCGTTTCTTCTTCTGTATGGCAGAATCTGCACAGAGTTTCCTCGGTCATGTTCATGTTCGATTTATGTTTGTTTAGTTTGCAGTGGCCGGTCAGTATTCTAGTCACTGCACAGGCTTTGTATCTTTTGAACTTTAGCAGTTCCTTAGTTACTTTATTGCTATATCCCTGAATGAGTGCTTTTGAGTGTTTTTGTCCCGATGTAGACTTCCACCACTCAATAGCCTCTTGTTTGCAGAGGGCGGTTAGTAGCGTGGTGGCTCGTTGTTTGGTAATGCCACAGAACGGTTCTACGCCGATTTGAGGGTTATCGGCTCCATCTCTGGCGAGTTCATCTGCTACTTCGTTTCCTTCTATATTCGAATGTCCTGGTACCCATGTAAGCGTTACTTTGTTGGTATTTCCCAGTGCATTCAGTGTCTCGGTGCATGTTTGCACCAATTTTGACGTGTATTAGAAGGATTTTAAGGCCAGCAGTGCTGCTTGGCTGTCTGAGTTGATGTAGATGTGTTGATCCTGGAGCTTCCTTTCCAAGTTTATCTCTGCACATTTGTTTATGGCAAAGACCTCGGCTTGGAAGATTGAGGCTTCAGTCCCCATGTTTAGGCTAACTTTGAGCTTAGGCCTCTCTCCGTAGATCCCGCAACCTACATTATTTTCCTTTTTGGATCCGTCCGTGTACCAGACGTGACTACCTTCCTTAAATGACATTTGGCCTTCTAGCCATTTGTCTCTGGGAGGTATGTTTACGGAATATAGTTTGGTGAAGTTACATTCCGTAAGCATGTCGTCACTGGGCATGCACTGCAATAATAGATAACTTTATTAATTAGTAAGAAGTAAGCTTAACGCCTTTAAAAGGTATTATAATTGGCATATTAATTTTACAATAACTACATAAACCATTGTTGTTATTAAGGTAAATTATACATATTTAAATCAGATCACATTAGTCGAATACTTAATTTTCTGAAAGAGGCAGACAACAGTAACTGAGTTAGTTGCGAATGTTGCGATGTTTAATTTCAGAATTGTGCCCACCAGATTTTTGAAAAAGTTTTTGTTTGTAATTGAATATCTTGTTGTCACTTTCTAAGAAATAATATTTTATCATATTTTTTCATTTGAACATGTATAAAACTTCTTAGTTAACGCCTAGTACGCCTACCTACATACTTAGGACTCAAAGCCTTTTATAATCCCATACTTGTCCCTGTCCTTATTTTACCTTGTACCATCAATTTGTTACTTAAGCATCGCCTACGGTAATTGTGTTACTAAACAATTAGGTACAGGAAAATGTACATTGTTTTGCTAATTAAGCAAAGTAATTAATAACAAAAACCTTTAATTGAATCGGGTCACTGAATATCATTATCTGCGTTTGTTGGAAATAGGAACAAATAATATGTTACTTATTAAAGGTTGTGGATTAGGTATTTTTGAAACAAAAGGAACTAACAATATGTCGCGCGACAGAAGTAGGTAACTTATTTTGATATTAGATTTTTTTTAATCCAAGGCCCGTACTATGAAACGTATCTGAAAAATCTGAAGAATAAACTCAAGAATGAGACCAATCTCAGCATTTCAGAACCTTTGCATCTTGAAGAATGCTTGAACTTGAACCGAGTTTTGAGTGTTGTAGCACAAAAGTTGTAGTATCATAATATTCATAATAATACGGGTATCAGTATTTTTTACTGACAGATTTTTTATCACACGTACCTAAACAAGCATATCGAAATAAAGCGATCAGCAAGAACCAATAGCTATTGAATAAAAAACTGAAGTGCCTGTGAGAACCGATTTAAGCATATTCGATGGGCTTCGACGAAGACCTTGGTGTCTAATATTTATTCAGAGCACAACGCCGTCTGATACCACTTCATAAACACATCCTATGATCAACAAAAACAAACAAAAGCATTTTGCGATTTGATTAACTGTATCAAATCGCAAAATGCTTTTTCAGCACTAAAATTTAATAAAATCATTTGAATTTGACATTTCATTGTTAGCTAAGAAATAGGATAGAAGTAGGTATGTGTGATTAAATCATGTAAGTAAAGCCGATAAAGTTTCATTAATTTAATTCATAATAATTTTATTTATTATTTATTAACCAGGAGTCTTTGTTTTTGTTTTGTATGCTGTTGTATTGTTATTGTTATGACGAAGTCATTTTTTAAATAACTTTGGAACTCGTTAACATAATTTATCAGGCCGGAACTTCCGTAACTGTATGCAAAATAATGACAATATGGAAAGAAATAACAAAATACATCCATTGTTTTTAGATTAATACCATAAGGGACACTTTTGCGAACATCCGGCCTCCCCAGGCTGTCTGGCCAGTGCAACGTTGCGAGTGTAGATAAATTAAAGGGGGTCAGTCATGCTCCTGCACTGGAGACTAAATGAACTGATGATGATGTCCCATAGTCGCCTCTTACGACATCTACGAGAAGAGTCGAAGAGGTCTCATACTACTTGGGCCCCCGCTGAAAATCAGTTTCAAGACAAGCTCTGGCGGTCTTGATGTACGCTGAGCAGGCACCCCTTTTTGTCAGAGGGGCACAAGCAGTTAATTGTCCACTTGTTTATTTATCTCTGTTTGAATCTATGTCTTGGCTGCTTGTATACCTTTCTTGCAAATAAAAAGTTTTCTATTCTATTCTATACTTTATTGACACCACATGGCCATACTGATAGTGAGTAACAATTTAACTCTCAGGTACAACATATTTAGTATGAGAGACTTGCGCACGCACAGACAGCCGTGATTCTAATTCGTAATGTAGATTAGCAAGCCGATGCTTCCGCTTCCTCGTCTAACAATGACGTATTTATCTGTATTTCGTCAGTTTGTATTATTGTAAAAATATATTGAAATAAATACAAAATGCTATCTTGGGTCTGATAGGACAAATAGTTATATTTATAATAATCCTGCAACCTTCTAATACAAACAGACACAGTAAGAAAGAAAAGCACAACAAACGCGTTCAAAACAAATGAACGATTGTTTTAGAAGCATCCTTTGTGTTTGATTACAAATCTAATGTTGATTTAATTACACATGATCGTACTTAATTGATAAGGAAAAAAGTGATCCAACAAATGACTTCCCAAGGTTTCTCGACGTATCTCTATTTGATAAATTACCTAAGGCAGTATAATAGTGATTCACATACTACCTACATATTAAGTGTTGAGTCAGCTAATATGTGTCTCTGGATTCTCACTAACATTGCTATCATATCATACAAAGAGGAAGCCAAACACGCTGTGTACATAAGTGTATCACGGTAGAATATTTTTAAACAAGAGCAGATTAAAATTACATTCCTAAGAAATTTATAATCACGGCTCTTACTATTTTCTTGTTCCTTCGTAATAGCAAATATTTGTTGTACGTAGAAATATTTGCAATCAGAATACCATTATGCGCCTTGTTTCTTTTCTCAATAAATATAATTAATGGACATAGATAAATGAAAGAAGAAAACAATATTATGGCGAACCTTATTGATTATGGCTTTTTTTTCCTTTTCTGTTATGCAAGTTTCGATCTGTGACAGACTGTC